CAAAGCTAATATAAATACAAAGGATACTGAATTGAAGTTTAAAGCTTATACCCATAAATCATAAGAGCAATATCACTAAAATTACAATTGAGATATGAATTACAAAATATAAAAAAATATAAAAAAAATAAAAAGACCTGAAGAAGATGAGTGTGAGAGGTTTCGGGGGAAGAGTGGAATGTTATGGTTTGAAATTGTAAAGGAGAAAATTTTCGCATTCAAATGCAAGCGTTGAAGTTGAAACATGTTTAAGTTTAGGTTCATCTTCACAAAACAATAGACAAGGTTTTGGTTTTGAATGGATAGAAGAAAAAATGGGGTAATTTTAGAATAAAATTATAATATATTTTAATTTAAATTCTGTGGGGCTTCCGTTAATTGGGCTCCTGCCATTTGATTCCTTTGGGCCTGGTCCTGGCCTGTCTTTTACCGAATTATTGTGAGTAGTGTTTTTAAAGTCGACGATTATCTAAACCTCCCATGAGATTTCAATTTAAATTATTCACACCCCAAGGGTTTGACCTCCCTTTACAATTGAAGAACTATCCAATATTTCCCTTCATAGCAGTTAGTTGACAAAATTATCCCTCCGTTTGTTTCCCTATTTTTTTCACTATCCTATCTTATTATCCTATTCAATCCTATCAAAACACACATTTGTTTTAATATTCTCAATTCTCTTCAAAATCCAACTATATTATATTCAACTCAAAACATTAATAATTCATTTCTTAATAAAAGTTTTAAAATTAATAAAAACACCCCCACCCACCCAAGCCACTATCACCTGCCAGCAGCCACTGTCGCCACCAATAGCCACCACCACCACCAACCGCCATCGTCGTGGGAGCACCAGCGACTGAAAATCAATCATGCAAATATACAAACAACAAAAGTACTTCCACAATCAAAATCCAATCCAAAAAGCCATCAAAAACTCAAAAATCTCAACGCCAAGTCTTCAAAATGGCAAAACCCTAAATGGTGGGGGGCAGCGACTAACGGGCAATTGGTGTTAGAAAGGATAGGGATTTTGGAGGTGGGAGGCCGGTGAGATGATTGGTGGTTTCAAAGAGATTTCTGACGCTGGGAGCAATTAGAAAGGGCAAAAATCACAGTGGATCTAGCGCATAGATTTGGTCAAAAAATGTCAGATCGACACACGACCAGCTAGAACCAGCTAGTCGTGCACCATTCCGATAGATTCCGACCATCTTTCGACGGTTGTGGCCGGCTATCAACAATATGTGGGTGGGTGGGGATGTTTTGTTGATTTATAAACTTTTATTGTGATGGGTGTTTAGTTAAATTAACAAACTTAAGAGGTTAAATAATCTAAATATTTTCAAAAAATACTATTCAGAAATATACCAAAACTTCTCAGAATCCTATCCTACTTTCCAAAAATGCTATTCTAAAAACCTTACCAAACGTAGTTGTTATTTGGTGTATTTTACCCCTTCAAGATTGGTTAATATCTAATTCATTCATTTTATTATAAAAATATAAAAAACACCCACATCGTTAGTGATACGTCAAGCTTTCATCCAATTTTAAGATTAAAAATCTATTTTACCCCCTCGTATTACTTACCAACTTAACAAATTTCTTAAATCCTTCTCTTAATAAATATCCAAATCTACCAAACCAACCTTGAACTTACAATTATACCATCCCAAGCAAGGTTACACATTTAGTTGATTTTTAGATAAAATTAAACATATGATAATTGTGTTTTTAAAGGGATAAAATAGCAAAATAATAATCCTTCCGTTTCTCTTTAAAAGTCATTTTAAGTCATTACACGCTTTTTAATAAATTAATTTTTTAATGTAAATTTTTTTCTCTTTGCTCCTTCCTCTTCGTGGGAAATGGCAATCATGATTGATGGAAAATAAATGGCTTTTAAAGAGAAAGAGAAAGTGAAAGAGAGAGAGAGAGAGAGAGAGAGAGAGAGAGAGGAGATGAGGGGTGAGGGAAAGAAAGAGAGGAGACAAGGGCATACTTCGAGAAAGAGAGAGAGAGTTGCATTTGGCCAAACGACATTTATTTTGGAATATTTTTTTAAGGCTAAAACGACTTTTAAAGAGAAACGAAGGGAGTAAATGATAATTATAAAAAATGAGATTAGTATGAATGAAATAATTTAAACATGATTAAATAAATAATAGATGTTGAAATATTGCTTTATCAACTTTAGAAATAATTATAGTCTAGTTAGACATCAAAAAGTTATTAAAGCTAGGTATTTAAAAAAAGGACATAACTAGATAGTCCGCAATAATTATTTAAAAATTATAGGGTGTTCAATGGACCTCGAGAATTAGTTAAGATGCATGCAAACTGGCTAAGACACCCCAATTACCAAAAAAATTTTTATTGTAATCAAACATTTTGAAATTTGTATTATGAGACAAACAAAGGCTAGATCTTTTATAAAACCTTTAAGTAATTTTAATTGAGGCAAAATCAAAATATTGGTATTTTAGTTAAATTCGGTTTTTTTTTTTTTTTTTTGGTTGATGATTAATAAAAATAAGGAATATAAAAAAATATTGTTTAAGTTGGTAAGCCATGGAAAGGGATAAAGTAGATTTTTAATTTTGAAACAATTAAATTATCTACATATTAATATTTCAATCATTTAAAAATTTTTAGTTAAAGTTATTGATTTTGAAATGTCCTCTCATTATCTCTTCTAAAATTTGTGTTCTATTTATGATAAAAATGTTCTTTGGGAGATACAAAATCAAACTTTCACATCACCACATTAAACTTTTATAATTACCTCTAGATAGTTTGGCTGTTTGTTTGGGGACTCTTAGGGTCTGTTTGGGAGTTTTATGGTAGCGGTTATAAAGGTAAACCATTGTAACGGTTTTGAAGGTAAACCACTGTAGTGGTTTTGAGGGGTTTTTAGTAGCAGTTTTTAAAACATACAACATGTGCTTGGGAGTTTATTTTCCAACGGTTCTGACAGTTTTTTAAAATGATAAATTTACATATATATTCATAAAAATACCCCAACTTCAACCAGTACTTGGGAGTTTTTTTTTTTTTTTCAATTACCAATACTTAGTATCAAAGTTCTATTTGTAAGTTCTTTCATTGTATATTATTTAATTTATTTGTATGTTCTCACTAAAATATGTAATGTAGTTGATGACATTCGTTATGCTGACACTACTAGCATACTTGGTAATTTGACTTCCACTCAACAACTAGATTTGTTGAAAATATATGCAAATGAAGCCAAATTGAGCTTCCCACATTACCAATGAGTTCGGGTTTTCCATTTAGTAACCCAATTTATATCCAAGAATAACAAACTCTAAAAGAGAACTGTTCAAAAAAATAAATAGTTTGAGTATAAACAACCAAAATTGAAGCAAAAATTTCAAGAATTATCACATGTTTAAGGAGATATAGGTGCATTTTTAACTGCCTCAAGCAGAGAGACTATTTTCTACCAAAACATACTCTGCCCAGCATCAGTAACAACGTGGTTTCTCATCTTCGCTAGAGTAGAGTAGATTTTTTCACAAGAAATTCATAGGATGCAAAAACTGCACTCATTAGCATCGTGCAAACCTTGTCCCATGCCTGCCTGTTTTGAGGAATAAAAATAAACAGTCTGGGTAGCTGTAAGCAATTGGAGATGATGGTACTATTTCAACATAACCATGGAGGCAATAGTACCATCAACTACAATCTCTGCAATAAATCTGCACGTGAACTGTTGAAAGCACCAAAACTCAAATGTGATTAATTTTACCACCAACTGAAAACCTAATTAAAAAGAATAACCTATTGCAAATCTAAGGCAAATCAATTAAGAAGAACAAAGGATCCTTCCCTCATTTAGGCATGGCATGGTAAACCCAAACAAAAAATGAGAGAGAAAGAGAGAAACAAACCTTGTTGAGAGAATTGAAGAAGCTGGGAGAAGGAAGAATCAAACGAAGAAAGGTCAGTCTTTTCCTTTGCCCCTCTATTATGTGACTTTTTTTTAGCAGTAAAGGGATTATTGTATATCACGGAATAATAGTGGAAAGGGTTTTTTTGGGATAAAATTTTTAAACCAGCCAAAACACTCCGATTTGAGGTGTTTTATAAACCTCTCAAAAATACACTACACTGGTTTTGGGGGGTTTTTAAACTAGTCAAAACCAGTCCATAAAAAATCTAGCAAGTAATGGTTTTAGAATACCTCAAAACCAGTCAATTAAAAACCCCCCAAAACTAGTGAAAAAAAAACTCCTAAACATACCTTTAGGTGTATTGCTCAAGAGGTCCTAAATTCAAATTCTCACAACTATTAATAAGGGATAACCACTGAAGGCTTACCTGACCATTAACTTCAGAGTCCCAAAGGACTAGTCGAGGTACTCGCAAGCTGATTCAGACTAGTCGAGATATGTGCAAACTGATCCGAACACTCACATATATAAAAAAATATATGAACAAACTTTCATATAATTAACCATATCCAAACACATGAAAAACACAACTTCACATAATCAACCATCTCCAAACATATTAAAAACAAAACTTCAAAATCGAATCTAGAAAGAATGAAATAACAAAATAGCCATGACATACCATCAAGTCCGGTAGCAACGACCATGGCCTTATCTAGCAGCCCCCGCAACAGCCATGGCCTTAAATTTTGGGTTTTTTTTTTTTTTTTGTATAAACTTATGTTTTTGGATTATTTTTCTAGTTTAAAAAAAATAATGAGAGAGATTATGGTTGATTTAAGTTTATTTTTTTATTCAAGTTTATATATATTGCATAGAAAAACATAAGTACCCTTTGATGGTTAAGTAAATATTTGAAATTTAAAAATTGGGTGGAACATGATGGTTCCGAAATTCTCAAATTAGGGTGGGAAATAAATTTTCCAAACCTAGGGTGGGAAAATGTAATTTAATCTAACTTTAAAACGTAACTAGTGTGACACCATTGAAATCCCTTCACCATGGAAGCCTATAAATAAAATATGTACCCGACAAGATCAGTAAGAAGCTTATTTCAATGGCGAAATCTCATTTGCCTGCATATGCTTCCTCTTCCGCAAAAATCCACCCCTCAAACGACCCCGAGATAGATCCCAATTCCTGCTCCCTTGAAAAGTTCAAGCTTTACGAGACCAGAGCGGTGAGGTTTTTTTTTTAACTGTAATTTTCAAATAATTGATAAACTAAGGGCTATTCAACTGAATTGAGTTTGGGTGTTTTTGAGCAGAGGTTCTATTTAATTGGGAGTGACAGGAACAAGAGGTTTTTTCGAGTGTTGAAAATTGATCGATCGGAGCCGTCTGATCTAAATATCAGCGAGGATCCGGTGGTTTATTCACCTCAGGAAATCAAAAACTTGCTTCAACGGATTGATGAAGGAAATCGTGCTACCGGCGGCCTCAACCCTGTGGCTAAGGTTTTTGGCATTGCAGGTTAGACTTATTATTATTATTATTATTTTGGGATAAAGACCTTATTATTTCTATTATATTATTATTTTTGTGCATTTCAGTATATAACTGAGTGTGTTTTTTTTTTTTTTTTTGGTAAAGGTTGCATTAAGTTTTTGGAGTCATATTATTTGATTTTGGTTACCAAGCGAAGACAAATTGGATGTATATGCGGTCATGCAATATACAGTATAGATGAGAGCCAATTGATTACGATTCCTCATGTCTCTATTCAATCAGATGTGGCGCATTCGAAAGCCGAACTCAGGTATTTTCCACTTGGTGTATTTTTCATTTATTTGGCCATAAGTCGTTGGGTTAAACTGAATTTTTATTGAATTTTTATGGACCTAGGCAGTTTAAAGTCGTGGATTTATTCTTAAAAGATTTTTTTTTTTTTTTAATACTTATTTCTCCTTTCTCGACTACTGTGATCTTTACTAGTTGCAATCGTCATTTTAATTTAGAGCCAGAATTGGTTCTCATGCCTGGTTATCTATTGTTGTATGAGAAAATGAATGCCTTAATTGTTTATTTTCCAGGATTTTTACCCTTTTCAATATGTTTATGCGTGAAATGAAATAATTGCTTGAGTTTATTTTTTTACTTTTATTTTTTATTTTTTATTTTATAGTGATGCACTCCTCTTGCCATTACTCTTTTTTTTCTTTTTCAGATCATGGTGTGAAAAACAGTAAAGTTAAGAGAATGGCCATGTATAGTCAAGTTTTCCGATCCATTACCACCAATAAAATGGCCAAAACCTAAAGAAATCATCTGACAACAGTTTTCCAGTTCCGTTATATAAAAAGTAGAGGAACTTTTATTGCTTTCTCTGACTTGCTATTGTAGGTTACTTGTGTGCTAATTGTTTCTTTTCTGTTTTATAAATGATCTTTTGTTATATGCTATGAAACAAAGCATAGTTGAATTATGGAAAGGAGATTTTACAAGAGAATGAACAAATTTTCCTAATACCAAGGACAAACTGTCCACATAAACCCTCTAGTGTTACAATAGGGAACGTATGAAGATCGTGGAAGAGAAAAAGAAATGGGAGGAATAGAAGTCAGGAGAGAAAATTTGAGGAAGAAAATAAGAAACTTATGAAGATCATGGAATAGAAAAAGCAAGGGGAGGAATTAGAGAAGTGAGAAGAGAAAATTTGAATGGGGAAGTTTTCTTTATTCTTAATAATCAATCAAAGCTAAGGCTAGATAGCAAAAGTGCAAAACAACTAAGGCCCTTATATATGGTGGCTATTATCATTTTCAATCAGCTTGTCTCTTTCCATTTAAACCAGATATCTTCAATGTCAGAGAATGCTGGTATAAATCTAGATTCTCTTACTTAATTCCTGCTTTAAATAGAACAAAATGGTTCGTTTTGACTATTTACCATAACCAATCCTCCACAACATTTACCATTTTCTCAAATACCTCATTTTAATATGGATGAACTAGAACTTGGAAGCCCCTAAATACCAAGCCAACCTTCTCAGCTAGGAAGCTGATGTAGACCATATAGGATGCAAAGGGATATTTAGTTCTTATCTTTCTATATTTTAGGATTGAGTGTCTTAGTTATTTCAGTCTTTTATTTCATTGTTATTCTTGGTTAATTAGATTAGAAATTCCATAGTTCATGCCGTATTGGATTAGAATCATTAGAATTGGATTTGGTTTCTTTAGCCTATAAATAAGTCTTATTTTTGTAGAAATATAAAGAGTTGATGATTATAATAAGATTGATATTGAGTATTGTTTCCTGGAATCTCTTGCTAGTTCTCTTCTAAATATCTAATTCCTCCCTATCTCATTAATTCTATATATCTATCTTGTTATTTTTTTCTTCTCTCTATCAGAAGCTTAATTCCTTTTGCTGGGTTGCATGAATGATTCAATCTCTGTAGTTGTGCTTAATCTATCCTTGCAATAGTTCCTGCCTATTTTCTTTATTTTTTTTGGAAGCATTGATTGATTGCTTCAGGATTACGTGCATCCCTTGTTCCCACCTGCATTTGTTGTTTTTAGTAAACTTTCGAAGCACTTTAATGGGGTTATGAACTGTATATTTGCAAATTTGCAGGTACAAAAAGCTACTATCCAGTGTAATTTGACCAAAGATTTTTTCTTTAGCTATACATATCCCATCATGCAAAGTTTGCAAAAGAATGTTTGTCATGTGAGGAAGGTATGCCTTATGATAACATATTTGTGTGGAATGCATATCTAACGCAAGCCATTCGATCGAGGTGCAATAACACTATTTGGACGATAGCATTAGTTCATGGCCATTTTAAGCAGGTATGTATTTTCTTTCAATGGTTATTTTCTATTGATGTAATTTAAATTTTCCACTTTAAATGATAAGAAGAAAGTAGATTTGTTAGAATTAAAATGAATTACAATATAATGAACCAACAGTCCACTAGATATCTACAGTATTTAGAAACTGAATAAAGGACTTCAAATTATTTTCAAGACAGGGTCTCATCTCTTAAGAATAATAAAAAAATATATCCTTAAATTGTTTAGACACCAAAGCCCCTAAATATCTAAGAATATATTTTCTCACAAAAAAGGGTTAATGACAATCACACCCATTGTAAATTGAAAAACTGACACTTTCCATGCCATACCCATAACTACGGAAACTACCAAGAACACCCCCTGTCGTTAAATCTTTCTGTTAAATATGAGAGTTGACTGATTTGGACCCACGCAATTTTTCTATTTCTTATTTGTCCATTTTATCCTTAATGAAATTTCTTTTATTTCTATAAATTTAAAAGGTAAAAAAAATGATGCAAAAAATTCAGGAAAAATCCATAAAATTTATGGATAACCTTTGAAAAAAGTGATTAGTTTTACAAAGATATATATTAGCTAATATATTTAAAATTAGATGAAGAATCCAAAAATTTTAAATATTGTAAGAAATTTAAAAACCTTTCAAAAACTATTTATCTATTCCAAAAATATTTAAGTTACTGAAGTTATACAGAAAAATTAGTGCCATATGAAATTAGCCTCTTCTCATTTTTTTAGAGGCAAACATCATTAATCATCCTAGAAGTTTTGGAATGGTCAAGCCAATGGGAAGTTTGCAGTTTTTAATCAATCTGTCTCCCAAAATTTTGAAAACGTCATTCAGAAACACTCCTTACGAATAGATTCAGTTAATTTAGCATTAGTTGACCTTTAAAAAAGCTTAAAATTTCTATTTTACCCTTACTCTTACCTTAGCAAAATAATGAAAATAGTAATGTATGACTAAAATACCATATCCACAGTGATAAATTATAAGAAAGATATTTATGGCACTAATCTAAAAAATCATATAATATATTATTATAATTATTTATTTCAAGTTTTTTTGTGCTATACAAAATTTATTTAATCAAAAATTTTCTCCAATGTGCTTTCTATCTTTTCTATTGCTGTATCATTTTAAATATATCTGACAATGCAGTTGGCTTCTTGTATTTCTGCTTATGTACTTTCTGTATACGCTTGTTAATTGGTTCAAAGTGTGAGAATATAGATTGATGATGGCAGACTAGGCTATCCATCTTTGGAAGGGATTTCAGCGTTTCTCTGATTTCTAGACGCTCGCGGCATTTTGCTGACACGGTACTCTTTGGTTTGAACTCATGTTCATTTATTCATGAAATTGTGATTGTCATTCACACTATTGGGCTATGTGAAACAAGTCTTCTGATATTGTATGCATGGTACGGAGTTGTTTTAAATTTTCCTGAATTATCTCTGGAAGCATCACTTTGGAAGAACTTTTAGTAGTAAATCCCGTTCATGATGGCTTAGGTTATTTTAAGTGGTTTAAAAGGTACTTCCGACTTTTTTTGATGCTAATTGTAGGTCGTTCTTTCATGGATTCCACTCATCTAAAAGTGTTTGTTTTCATTTGTATTTTGCCTTACCTAGTACAATTTGAATTTTATGAAAGTTTTTAAGTTACCTAAATATGAAGCCACATGTGTATGGTTGAATGTAATTTCTCTCCTCAACTGATAAGTAGGCAAGAAAATTTTGGTTATTTCCATTGCCTGAATTGTTCTCTTCATTCTTTATCAAAATTTTCCATCTTCAAACTTTGAGAAATTAATATATCAATCCTCTTTGTACTTTATTTTAATTTTTTCCCTCGCTGTGCGTCAACAAGTTTTTAGTTGGAGCTTGACTGTGCATCAGCAAAATTCTCTATCATCCTCTGATAGAGGAGTGTAAGGAATACAGAGAGAATAAGCAATGATAGAGAGGACAGAAGTCAGGGGCTATTTTTATTTTTTGTTTTTCTCATTTTTCTGTTACTGATAACACTAGTGATATGATAACAAAGGATTTTTTTTTTTTTTCTTATTTTTCATGAAACTATCAAATCAACTATAGGAAATGCTTCAAAGACCATAAAGGCTTCACTTAATAAAATTCAGGCAGTATTTCCATTTGGAAATGTTGTATTCATTACATCTTTTATGGCGTTTCATATTAAAAGTTTATATTGTCTGTAGTTCTTGAAAAGGGGAGTAAATGACCGAGGAAGAGTTGCGAATGATGTTGAAACGAGCAAATTGTCCTCGATGAGGAAGCTGGGTCATGTAAGAAAAATGAGTTCTGTGGTGCAGATGCGGGGTTCAATTCCCCTTTTCTGGTCCCAAGAAGCTTCCAGGTTCAGTCCTAAGCCTGATATTATCTGTAGAACATTGTTTATACCTTTATTTTATTTTATTATTTGGTTTAAGTATTTTCTAAAAACCCTTTCGATGTTCTCTTCTTTTTCCTTCTTATTTCAGTACAGAGGTTTGACCCTACTACAGGCAACTAACTGCATTTTGAAGACCTGCAAAAGATATGCAATCCAATAATTGTTTTAAATTTAATCAAGGTTACTTTCAATTACATTTTGTGCAACTTGCTTTCTTTACTCTTTATATCTCATTATGCTTGCATGTTTGCTAACAGAATATTTGTTGGTGAATTAATATTTTTCATTTTTGTATTGACCAAAATTTAAGCAACAGTGATGATTGTTTTCTCCCAACATTGCGCAAGGCTTATAATTTAATCACATTGCTGAGATTAGTTATTTAAGTCTTTAAATATGCTTTTTCGACCAGATTCTTTTGTCAATGGTTCTAAACAACATGGGTATTTCTGATTCAATATTATTTTGTCATTGTCATGGTAGATGAGTACATGAGGGCTAGTATGCATGAATTGAGTGCGTTTGATGGAACAAATATAAGGCTGATAACGAAAATGACAAAACTGTATAGGATCAAGGTAAATTTGATTGATCTAGTTCTCTAAGAACTTGAATGATAGTTTAGAATCCCATATTGGAAGGGAAAAGGGTGGGCATGTGGTTATGAGGGCTTGAGCACCTTCACTTGGCAAGCTGGTTTTCCAAGGAGAGTTTCACCTAAGCCCATAAAAGACCCACCACCCAGCCCAATTCCTATCAAAGGCCCAATACCAGCCAATGCATATCATTTGGGAGTGGGTTTGCTATCAGATAGAGAGTAGATAATTTATTCTTTTGTGTCATTAGTTTTTTTTTTTTTTTTTTTTTTTTTTTTTAATTTTGTTTCAATCAATCAAATGAGCAGATGGAAGAATATGGAATACGTTTTTTTCAGGTGTTCTCTTAGCAAGTTTTTCTTTAAGTGCTTGCGGATTGGTTCTTTGCTTTCTTTTTTTTGACTTTTTTGTATGACGGTGTGTTGACTAGGGAATCGTGTTGGTACTTTGTATGTAATTATTGACTGTAAAAATCATCAGTGCAATTGTGCATTGTGTGATTTCTTTCCTAAATTAGGTGTATAATGATCGGAAAGAAATAGAACTTAGCAATGCTTGAAATCTGGATTTTAACAAGATAAGGTGCTCTTTCTTTGTTGTTGTAGGTTTCAGTTTTCAAAGATATAAACGAAATCTTAGCAAGAAAGCTTGACTTATATCATTAATCCAAGCATCGTGATAAAATCTTTTTATTTCTTTCCAATTAAATATTGTAGAACTGCCAATACACACAATTCTATAATATCACCAGAAACCTTCATATGGAGGTCTTTGTTGAAAAGAAAAAAAAAAAAAAACTACTTTACAATTGGGCCAAACCTTAGGAAAAGTAAGTGAAAGCTTGACATATATTCTTCATAATTATATTATGTATTCATTTTTGTTTGTTCCAGTTCTTATTTATTTCATTAACTGCAACTTGGCTATGAGGGTTCTCCCCCCATGCGAATATTTGTTTTTAAGAGCACATATAAATGTAGAAAGACATTGTGACGTAACATTTTCTCTTTTGTCTTTGTCGACCTTTATATATTAGTTACTCATTAAATCATTTCTCCACATTTAAATACTTTTTTGGAGCTCATTTACATATTAAAACGCAGACTGTTGAGAAAAGGCCGCGAGAAATGATGCTAAGGCGTGAGTTTGCAGATGCAGTTGGGTATCTTAACACAATTATCCCTGAGGAAAACCAAGTTCGATTTATACATTGGGACTTCCATAAGTTTGCAAAGAGGTAATCATGTATTTTATCTCACAAAGTAATCATCATCCAATAACACAAGAAAGAAGCTGCATTTCATGTCAGCTAACCATTTTTTTTTCTTTGTTTTTCTTTGCTGATTTCTAGCAAGTCTGCCAATGTTTTAGCGGTTTTGGGTGGCGTGGCAAGTGAAGCACTTGACTTGACTGGTTTTTTCTATAGTGGTAAACCAAGCATCATTAAGAGGAAAACCAACCAACCTAGTCGAACTGGAAGGTATTAAATTGTGCTCTAGTTTTTAGATACTTTTGATAAATAGTTTGAACACATGTAGTCTTCTTTAAGAGTTTTGGTATATGAATCTTTCCCCATTACCTATTATTTCCTGCAAAACCTTCTATCCTCAAGCAATTTTCCACAAAAAATCCTTTCCATGCATGTAAGCAGAATATATGATTTCAAAGGTAGAATAAATATAGTCCTGACTTCTTGGATAGTAAAGGCAACTCGTTTCTTTATTTGGCACCAAATGAAAGGCAAAAACATAGAAAACCCACATTCATAGCACTTGTATAAACACCCAAATCAAAATCTGACCCACAAAAATAATTAAAAAAAAAAAAAAAATTGGAAGGAGGAGGTATTATTTGTCTGAAATGTGGGCAATGGTGGTGGCTGGGGTGTGCATGAAGTATTGTGGTAGTTGTATACAGTGGTTGTCTTGTTGGAAAGAAGCACCACCTATGTGGCCCAAGTTGGTTGTAGCTTAAGGTCGTCACATGGTCATCACCAGTAGTAAATTGAGGCTGTGACGAGGCCTTTGCAGGCAACAACATGGGGCCATGATGCAACCATACTGGGCGCCGCATAAGGTCGTGCGGCGGTCACATTAGACTACTAATTCGGCCACCATTGGCATGGACACCGTTGGCCTTGTCACCATTTGTGTCATTTGGAAGGATTTAGGGATTTGAAGAATAGAATTTTTTTTTGGATATTATGAAAGACACCACAAAGTTTGTGATATTATTAGTAGGGTGTTTTTGGGATTTTTATCTAATTGTTTTTAAGTAAGATATAAAAATAAGGGTATAAGTGATGTTTCATAGTTTGTTAATGGTAGACTAAAAGATTATGTCAATAGGGGTGGTTTTTGAATAATTTTCAAACTTTAAGGGTGATTTTGTATAATACTCCTAAAGTTAGTGTCTAGCTTTTAGTTTGTGAAACTTTAGGGCGGTTGTTGCATTTAATCCATTGTAGGCCACTAATTCTTGTTTCAATTGCCTAATAGACTGAAAGAAAGAAGTGCTAAGCCTCCACTCCACAATGAGCCTTTGCCAAGGGCACACAAATATTTTTATGTTGCGTTGGTGGCCAATGAAGTTGAGTAATGTAGGAAAGAAAAAGCTAGATGGGATGGTGGTTAAATAGATCTTGAAAAGGTTTCTTAGCATTTAGATTGGGGTTTGATGGACTTTGTTCTTTGTGAGGGGGAGCTGGGGAGGTTGGATTATGGCTTTTCGAAATCTATAAATGGGAGGCAAGGGGGGAATAAAAGAGTAGATGGCTTTTCTCATTTGTTTTCACATTAGTTGTAGATGGACTGACTATAACTGGGGATGTTGGATTGTGGCTTTTGTATATATATAAATGGGAGACAAAGGGGGATAATGGGAGGAGATGGCTTTTCTCATTTCTTTTCACATTAGTTGTAGATGGACTGACTACAACCATGGAGAAAACAATTCTAAGTAGGAAGTTTCTAAGTAATATGGGTTGGGAAGGGCAAAATTTTCTTAAAGAAGCTTTATTCTCAAAATCTTGGGAGAAGCAACTTAGCACTCTTGAAGTTTTGACTGAGTACTTCCTCTTGAGAATACATTAAATTCTTTTATGGAAGCCACAAAATTAATTCTATTTCTTTCCTCACAAAATTTTACAAATTCTATATTCACATTCCTTTTTTCTTTCACTTCTACTAGATAATATTAACATGTTGATTAAGTGTAGGTGTCGTATGCAAACGACATATTCATTTTCTGCTATTGGCACTCTACTCTTTAAACAAACATGATGGCTATATATACTCTTGGAGTTCTTTTTTTTTTTTTTTTTTAATTCAAAACCGGAGTTAAATATATGGAGACACTATGTTAACTGTTACAGGTGCTTAAATATATGAACATTTTTATTTCTGTTATTGGCACTCTATTCTGGAGATACTATGTAGACTGTTACAGGTGCATAAATACATGGTTTTTGGAAGCCCATTCTTTGAGGTTGTGTTTGGTTTTCTATCTCAGCATAAAACTTTATTAGGTGCCTAGACAAGACACGTATTATGATTTTCAAAATTCTAACTGAACAGGGAACGTTGTTTTTCTTTTTGTGTTTGTTTCTTGCAGAGATGCTTCTCTCAGAGAGTTGCGTGCCAGTTCAGGGGACCTTGCAAGGCTTGCAAGTGGTGGTGAGAATTTAAGTTCTATAATTAATCGAGAAAGAGATACGGATTTTGGCCAACAAAATAAAAAAGACAACCATGATGGTGTAGCACCATGTTTCCAAAGTGGAGTCCTGCGTACGAATTGCATTGACTGCTTAGATCGTACTAATGTTGCCCAGTATGCTTATGGGCTTGCTGCTTTGGGCCTCCAACTTCATGCAATGGGTTTGACAGACATGCCAAAAGTTGACCCTAATAGCAGCATAGCTGCAGCTCTTATGGATATGTATCAGAGCATGGGGGATGCTCTTGCACAACAATATGGTGGCTCTGCTGCTCACAATTCTGTATGATTATCTCTGACATGCTATATTTTAATATGCATTTATTGGTTATTGAATTTGCACATCTAGTTGTGTGTCTTCTTTTTTGGACTACCAATACATCCTTCTTCTCAGGTGTTTCCGGAGAGGCAGGGAAGGTGGAGAGCTACTACCCAATCCAGAGAATTTCTTAAGTCTATCAAGCGATACTACAGTAATGCCTACACGGATGGTGAAAAGCAAGATGCAATAAATTTGTACTTATTTCTTCCTGTCATATTTTATTTTTAATTTTACATGTATAAATTGCTTTTTCCTTATCCTTTAAAGTTTTATTCCATAAAGGCTTAGTAACATCTCTGAAAAGATAGTGATACAATGCTCTGGCTGTAAATTAAATTGGTTTTAAAGTTTACGTCAGCTTGTTTATATTCTGAAACTATTATGTTTTGTTGGTTTTACCAGATTTTTGGGTTATTTTAAACCACAGGAAGGGAAACCTGCTCTATGGGAATTGGATTCTGATTATTATCTTCACGTTTCCGGGATTGGTGATGACTTATGCCCTGATAAATGGTAGGTATCTTATCTTTGCTTTGGACAAGCTATAAGCTTAATTGACTCTTGTTACTCACACACAGTAGCAGATATGTTATCCTATTAGAATTTAGTTTTTTTTTTTCTCTTTCAATTGTCCACTATGCAGTTTGGAAGCTACTGTTAAAGCTGTAGGACAAGGGATGATTCTTGCCCCTGTTCCAGCATGCAGAGAAGATTTTTCTCGGCTGAAATTGACTTCCTTTGAAAAATTGATAGCGAAAACATGTAGCTCAATAAAAAATGTTAGACTTTGCAGTGAACCAGACCAAAGACCAGGTGGTGGTGCTGGAAATTCGGGCGTGGCACCTGATGCAGCGTAAATCTTCCTCCCTTTCTCATTCTGCATTTGTGCACAATTTCTATCTCATTTCTTAAAAGATTTTGATTTTTTTACTCTCTTAGTTTTTCTGGTTATGTTTATGACTTCCTCCATCTCTTCTGTTCTGCTGTTGAGGACATACTTTCCCTCTAAGCTTATGATTTCAGGTTTTTCTACCTTTTTAATACAGCTTCAGATACTCTTTTAGTCAACTATCTAGGGTCCTATACAGTCTTGTTTGTTATATGTATTGTTGTGTAGCTGTGTGGATCACCTTAGATCAAGAGGCTTATCCGTCCACCAAGTTCATAAGCATGTTTAGTTTCTTCATTTGGTTACTAGTTTTAGAGTACTTGTTTGAACTTAATAACTTGAAAAATAAGCTCCTTTTGTTTACATTGCTTATGTCCACATTTTTATTTCATCACTCTTAGTTATTTGCTTGAAGTATTTTCATTATCTGATTTTTAGTTTGTTTAACACTTTGATCTTGCCAGTGCAAATATGAGAATTTGTGCGGCAATTTATTTTATACTTGTTAACTCGGGCAAGTTTCTTATGCAGTGAAATACAGTTGAAGAGTCCAAATTGGCTCTTCGGCCAGAGAAAGCTTGAAGGAAGTGTGTCTGCTCCCAAAGTTACATCACATGAAATGGTAAATCGGGAAGTTCATAATGAAATCAGAGCCAACAGTTTCTGTGACTTGAATTGGCTTTCTCCGGTTGATGACATAAACGAAGAAGATGTCTTCCAAAGGTAATTTTCTATGTAAAGCATTCCCATTTTGTATAGGAGGATACTTCAATGCTGTTTCTCAATGTTTTAACTTAGTTAACCCAACTCAGTTTGTCACTAGCTAGGCTGGCCCTCAAGTTGCTTGTTTTGTGCCAAAGCTTGAACTCCATAATAGCCTTTAAGAACCAAAAGGTGACAATGCATGTATTTTCTACTCTGCTCATGGGCCATGTAGCCATTGGTATGATTTAGATGAAACCTGGCTAGATTATACATTATGTAGCAAATATGCATGCTTGGAGTATCTTTTGACATGATTCTATACGCAACTATCAGTTTATTTGTGAAGTTGGAATAGGATTTTGACTTTAATTTGTTCAATTGACGTTGAGGGTTTTAGAAATTTTCATCCCTTTTAGATATGTAGGTAGCCTTAGATTTATTGATTAGTGTTGTAGTATGTTGATTCAGACACAGCTGTTATGTTTTAATTCAAACACAATCTGTTGGAGATGACCACCATTAAATCTTAGATACAAGAACATTTTATACATGTGTAGGTTATCTGGATTTATAATCTTAAACACATTAAAATGTTACTTAAAAGTTTCACTCTAGAATTCACTTATCATCTGTTATCAATTGTCTAGGAAAGTATAATAACTCTAAATCCCATGTCATTCCCTTAAAATACAAATAATCCCGGCCTTTTTTTTAAAGGCAAAAAAAAAAAAATAATAATAATAATAAATAAAAATTAATCCAATGCTAATGAAATTTCTGTTACAGTTGAGCAGTTGTAGGCTAAAATGGTATTTGATGATGCTAAAGATCAGATAAAATAAAATAAAAAAAATAGATAACTTTAAACTCCATGACATATATTGAAAATACGGATAACTCTTGCTTATGTTATCTTTTTGAAAAATTATTTTTGAGTGTAAAAATACGTTGGTAAACTTTTTTTTATCTTATGCTCTTAGAATATGTCAGAACAAACCTTGAAAGAATTCATAAAAGTTTAATTTATTTCATCCCATGCACCTAAATTAATATAATTTTGTTGGAATAGATAAAATATTGTATTAAAGGTAAATTCAAGTTGAAGGGTCAGATTGATTTTTTTCTAGACAAAGTCATTCATGCTGAATTACTATGTTTTCTTAAAAGATAAAAAAAAAATTGATTAATTCTTTGAAACTTTGAATCATATAGAAATTACAAATGAGCTTTTCTCAATTATAAATGGATAGGTTGCTAGGTTTCACCAAGTTGCAGGTATACACAAGTTATTTTTCAATTTTTCTTCACTCTTATTGCCGCATTGCCCGGCCTAGCTACGAAGTTTAATTTATAAGTGGTCCCTCTTTCTTGTAAAATTAATTATTACATTTGGATAATGTCACCAAAAAAGTATAGGGTTATTTGTATTGAGGAAATGACTGGGGGTCTCAAGTTTTTGGCCGTTTAATGAAAGCTTTTAAAAATTAGAAGAAAATACGGGATTTCACTAGTCTGTTTGTGTCAGGTGTCCGTCATGGATAATTAGACTTATATCAAGGGTTTGTTATTATTTTTGAAAAACTAAAGGGTTATTTGTTCTTTTGTGAAATCACCGAAGGTTTAGAGTTTTTACTCCAATAGCAAATTCAGAATGGCGATGGCACTTTAAAATGGGAATGTTTAGTGTTCATTTCTGTGACTGATTTTCTCATCTCTTTTCATTTCTGTTTATAAACTTAATTTATTGTCTCGTGGTTATCTAGGTATCTCACTATGACCTCTGCTGATGAAGCCAATGGTTGGTATGGTGGAACACTGCTCGGTGATCAAGATGAAGGCAGTGAGATATATAAACATTATACTGAACTATGCCAGGTAATGTGTTCATGTTCTTTGAAGGAAAATGAAATATAGCTAGCTCTAATCATTTTCATAATTGATGCATATGGGCATGTAATAACAATTAATTGGCACTGGAAACGAGCTCTTATAGTCAACTTTTGGAATTGCAGGGCCCAGCAATGGAACCCTTCCAAAATGATCATCAGAGGGAGATGCACTATTCTCATGTTCTAGAAATGAATAGACTTGATGTGGTAGACAAAGATGTGGTCGAAGCAGAGATGGAAGCAGTCCTCAGGGAGTATGATCAAATTGGTGCTGATCTTCGGATCATCCCGACATCATGTAAATTGTTTGCTGAAGATCCGAGTAGGTTGTCGAGATAGATCATTGGGGAGGAGAAGTTGCAGAAAGTGTGAAACCAGTTTGCAGCTGTGTTTCCTGGCACTGTATATATAACGTCATTGTTATCTTTCTGTAATGTAAATTATTTTGGTTAGTAATTTCGAAGATAAAAAGCATTTGAGTAGTTATGTAAAGTTTGTTGAATGGTACACTAATTTCTGGAAGTCAATCACCACAACATGAGTTTTAATATTTCAATGGTTTATTTTCCTGCTTGTCCATAGCCTCGCTTTAGAGAAAGAATAGCTGCTGTCTCTTTTCCTGTCTTCAGAATCCATTAGTCTTAAAATTAAGGCCAAAATACCTACAAGGTCAACAGGATTACTTCATTTTGCTTTAGTCAAGATAATCTACCGATATATAGTAAAAAATTGTCTTCAATTTATATTTTATAAGATTTTTTCTTAATTAAGTTTGGATAACCCCATATCCAGCCCAAATAGAATGGGTCAAGATTGGTGCAACGCCTTGGGTTGGGTTTGAAGCACTCCAAATAGATAGAAATTCATAAATAGGGTGTTCCCTTTTATCTCTTGTGAATCATTCCTTCCCTAATCTCCATTTCTATTTCAATATTATAGCAGACTTTCATTTTCTTCGTTAGTACAATGCCCTGTCACAATAAATAAGCAAAAGTTGTAGAACAATTACAGGCGACCTTCAATCTTCACTAATCTAACATAATATTTTCAGAATTTCTGTGAAAAAACACTCTTTGAGGAGGTTTACTATAATGGGTGATTGTGTTGAGGTTTACACCTCCCTCTTCTTTATCATTTTACCCTTATATAGAAAATGGAGGTGATAAAGAGTAATACTTCCCGTCCCAAAATATATCCCAAAATTTACATTATAAATGATGTGTCATCTTATTTAGTATTGTTATGTTATTTCACTAAGTAACCATAGATAATACAACATTATTTGGGATGAGAATTTTGTGATAATCTTTAGAGTGTTTAGGATTATGATTTTAATTATACATAACTTTAAATAATAATCATCTCTATTCAATATTTAAAGTTAATGAGATAGTGATATTAATAAGAATGTCAGCTCCTCGAATTTAGTGAAACAACGACTTGGACTCCAATTATTAAGGAAGATGTTTGGACACGTGTTGCTGAGTGACAGTATTGAGCTAGCACAACTCAAAAGATTTAAATGTAAAAGACGTGGTATGAATTTAGTTATCATAATTTTTTATAAAAAGTTTAGAAAGTAGAAGCGTCTGACAGACTTAGGGGTGGGTGGGCCTAGGTATCCATCCAATTTCAAAAGAACCGAAACTAACCGGTTCCTAGCTTTTGGAATCAGAACCGAAAACATCGGCTGCTATTCCTTAATTCCTAGAATTGGAATCTGTAACACAGATTCTAGTTCCGATTTCGAGTACCAAAAATACTATGTAACCCCCCTACTAATTAAAAAAATAACAAACATACCTGTAAAAATTACAATGCACCCCCAAAATTAAAGTTACATATAATTGTTTTCTCTCTCCTCTCTCGTTGTTTCCTCTAATTCTCCTCATGAGCTCTTCTCTCACTTGGACTCGCAAGTTTGATTTTGGTAGGATGCAATCTGAAGCTGCAAATTAATGGAGCTCTCAAGTGGAGTGTGGAGAGAATGAGAAAAAAAAATGCGAAACACATACTCCTCCTCAACCTCAAGTCAATACTCAATAGTAACTGCGGCTATTTATTGAGCAAAAGCAAGAATTACAACATGTGATTAATAACTAGAGGTGAAGCCATCAACCCAATCTCTTTTTAAGTGTAAGTACTCAATTGGTCGGTAAAAGATAAGGATTATCTAAAAATCTGCTATATTTATTATTTGCTCACATGAAGTTGTTTGTAGATAATACTAATAGACATGGAGGCATAGTCAAATCAGCTGTTTTTCAAAATTTAACAAAATTTTATTTTTCTTGACTATTTGTTAGCATTCATATTTAATTTTTGAATTAAAATAAAGCTTTAGTTCTTTACCATCTTTATCCAAACACGTACCATCCCTTACCTGAGCCTCACCACCACCACCGTCTCAAACACCTCTAACGCTTCCTCCTCATTCTCTGTCTCCTCTAACACCTAGATCGGCAGGCTCCCTCTCTCTTCACTTTGCCTTTTCCCCAAAATTAAAATTACGTATAATACTTTTTTTTCTCAGGTTGCATGGTTGATTTTGCTGGTTTGGATGTATTTGGGTTCATATGTTTGCAAGTTGATTTTGCTGGTTTGAATGTATTTGGGAGTATTTCTCTGCAGGTTGTATGCTTGATTTGATTTTTTTTTCTTTTTGATTTGGTTTGTGATTAAGAGATTAGATTTTTGGTACTGTCAGTGTGATTTGGTTTGCGATGTTTGATTTCATTTTCAGTCAATCTTTCATGCTTGGTCCCGGTGGCACTTTCTTTTCTGTCTCTTCTTCTTCTCTTTGTTCCGGTTCCGGTTCCGGTACTCGGTTCTTACAGGGGTGGAACCGGAACCGTACAGTATCGGTTCCAGGTTTTCGGAACCGGAACCGACCCTGTGGCAGACGGTTCCGGGTAGGAACCAGAACCGAAACCCGGGTACCCTTCGGTTCCCGTTCTACCCTATTTTTTTGTCCACCCCTAATTCTTGACAATGAAAAGGCTGTTATTGGTCTAGTTGGAGCTGCTTTGGCCCTCCAGGTGGTGGGAGTGGGACCTGCCTCAGCCGCTGAATTGCCGTTGTTGGCCTCATCTTTGCAACTGAGTGAACCATCCAATGCCTTGTCCTTGCCCACCTGGGCCGTGCATGTCTCCAGTGTTGTTGAATGGTGAGGGTTTTCTTCTCTCACAATTGTGGCTATTATAATAACTGTGTTTTATTTATTCTCGTTAATGCTAAGTTTGATGAGTGAAAATTTGATAGAAAGCAGGTATCTCCTAGGCATGTCTGTGTGTGTTTTCTCTAGGCTTTACGTGGTAAATGAAATGCTAACCACAACTTAGCTATATAGATTCATTATTATAACTTTGTTGTGTTGTACAGTTGTATGAATTTTCTCTTTATACCGATAATTAACATTCAGTATATTTTGGGGTTTGAATTTTGAGTTCTTCAACCATTTCAACCGAAAAAAGAAGTATAATTGACTCTAAATTTTCTGTTCAAAAGGATTACCGCAATGGCTTTAGTGTGGCAATATGGAGAGAAATCTGGTTATGAAGCATGGAAAGGTCTTTCATGGGGAATGGTGAGTTCCTTTTCTCAATCTTTGCTAGTTACATTAAATTCCTTGTATGACTAACCTAAAATTTTGGAATGCATTATTAATTGGTGTATGCTTGGTAAACATGTTTCGTAGATGAATTTTGTGAAATATTTGCTTCAATTACTTCGCTAAATTAGAAGCATTAGTAATCAAACTAGGACTGTTCTAGTTTGCTTTAATATGATTTTAAGGGATAAGTTTACTATTTATAATTAAGTCAACACATTGTGAAACGTAGTCACCCCTACAAATTTGGTTTATAGCCTAAACTTAGAAATTCTAAATACTAAACTCCACACAACACAAGTCTAAATAGACTTGACCTAGTTATAAGGATTGTAAAACTCGTTCCAACTTCAATGAGAAAATAAATGGACCAAAGCAACTGATACAAAAACCATAATAGGATGATTATGACTGCATAAAAACTGTTGCCCCTTTATGTTGCAGTCTTCTTGGAAATAGTTGGAATGATACTGATTCTAGTTTCCTTCTTACTTTAATGGGGACAGTACTTGTCTTTGAATGCCTTATATCTTTTAGGTATTAGCCTTTCAGATTGGCTTGTAGGTTCTGATTTATTTACACAATAAGTGCTGACTCATTTAGATTTACAACTTTCTATAGAGCATATTTTGTTGGTTTGCAATCTTCTAAATGAAATTGTTTCTTCGTAAACTCTTTCTTCATCTCCATTATTGTTTAGGTACCCCTGCTTGGTGGAGCATTTTGCGCATGCACATGGCATTTCTTTTATAATTCTGAGTCTCTTGAGGTGAGCTTTATCTTTTCTGAAGTTATTTATTTACTATACATTTGTTTTGCGTAATAGTATGAATTTATTGAAATGGAGAAGCTGTTGTTTACTGGTTTTAATCAAACGGTTCATTTACCTTACTTTGATGCTTTACACTGTATTCAACTATTAGTTATGGTACTAAGTTAAGTTGGACATGTTTTGTACATTGTTAGTCTAGTATTTGTAATTTTCTTCCTGACTTTTGTTCCCATGGAACTGCAATGCCTGTCATTGCTGTGATGTTTCATTCTTCACCCATTACCAAGTGATTGATATTGAAGTAACTAAAGACTTAGAGGTGGAAACACTATTACCTCTTTTGCCATCTTTATATGTTAACAACCCAATAATCAGATGTGTGCCATTTTCCGATAAATGAAAAGCATAATCACAATTATGGAGAACTTGTAAGGATTAGGAGAAAACCCAAGGGAGGTTGTGAGATATTTATTAGAAAACGAAGGACAATTATTCTACAAGTATATGTGCAACATGGGAGTTATAAAAAAACTGGCATTGTCAGGAATTAATTTGGTTACTCTCTGATAGGCTTGACTGATATAAAAAGAACAAGTGAAATTAGTTAAGCAAATTGAATAAATGCAGGAAATTACTGATTTAACACAATCATTGCTATGTATTTATCCATGAATAAGGAGTTTAGCAGATGTTGCAACTGTAGAGTAAAAAATTATGTGCTCCCTGAATTTTGTTATAAAGTTACAAATGTGCTTGAGTAATGATAGGAAATGAAACTGCGTATGATGTTATAGTGTTATTCTTCTGAGATAAAATATCTCGAATGACATGCTTGTTAATCTATGATCTTTAGGTATTGGTGGCTCTTCAAGCTATGCTTACAGTGATAGGTAATGCTACAATGTGTTATGCTGCATTTCGAATATACAAATCGTCAGAGGAACGGTCGTAGAATCTGTAAAATTCCTGTATCATGATATAATCATGTGCTTGAATGCATATCCTTCTTGTTTATCAGACATATCCATAATGAAGGTAAGCAGCTCACCAGCATTCCGATAGAATGATGAAAAAAAAAAAAAAAAAAACCATCAGTTATTTTCCTATGGATTATATGTGTTTAGCTTTTGCAGGAAAAAGGGAAATGGGATGTTGGAAATGTCCTTGATTGATGACAAAGCCGATTTTCGTGGGGCTAAAATCTCAAAATTGGAGGTAATTCTTTGCAAAAAAAGTAATGGATTGTGATCATGTAGTTGTTGAGGAGGAATTGATGGAGTCAAATGCCATAATGTGTTAAGCAGTATCCGAATGAAGAATTATTTTTTCTCTTTTTGAATAGCTGTAACTTGTCAAGAAACAACTTTATATATGAATGGTGTTGATATATAACTATAAGAGACCGTTGTATATTTACGGTCTTATACAGAGTAACATGGTTCCATAATGTTTTTGGTACGTGCAAGCAGAGGGATGGACCCAGAATTTTTCTTCTATGGGATTTAACCACAGAATATGATAAATTTAAGGAAAAAAAAGTTTACAAAAATAATATATATACAAAATTAAAAGATATAATCATATTATTTTTTGCCGCATAAATTTATAATTATTTCATATATTACATAAAGGTTTTAAGTTTCAAATTTAACTTGAATATAATATAATTGTTATTATCTTTGTTTGTTTATCTATTAATCTCTTATCTCATTTCAATTTATTAATAATAAATCAATAAAATCAATATATATAGACGTATTGGTTATGTAAAGTTTAAAATATTCACACTAAATGAAATTTCTGATTCTTAATTGAAACTTTAATTGTAGTTTTTCTCCATCTATACTATTATTAAAATATTAAATTGATTTTTAAATTTGAATTTGTCTACAGTAGAAACAAACATATCATTTGCACTGTTATGGATTCCTAATTTATAAACATCTGTACTATTCTAAACAGTACAAGTTCCACCACTAAAAATTATAGCATATTTAATATATAATTTTCTACCAAATAGTACTAAAAAAAAAATAAAAAAAATAAGATGATATCTAATGATTCTACTATTGCTCCAATATTCATACATCATGACCAGGTTTTGTTGATGCAAAAAATGGCATCAACTAGAAGTACACATGATTTTTTATGAATCTGTGCAAGAATCTGTTTGAGATTCGCGAATTTGATGTTGGATTGATAAAAGAACAATAACCGAACACAGTCACATAGAACAATTTTTTTTTTAAGTGGTTTGGATGTTTATTATGCAAATCTTACATCCACTGTTTATGGTATTGAATGTTTATGAGAACAAAGAGCTAAGTTACAAATAGTTATCTCAAAGAATCCTTTAAGTTGTCTCTCCCCTCAGCCCTTTGCGAATAAATTTCTCTCTATGTGTGTGTTAGGCTTAGTGATTCTTGTGTCCTTTCCCTAAACAAGCTAGGGTTTGGGTATTTTACCCATTACAATAAGTTTGAGTTTAATACAAAATCAATGAAATAGGAAATTAACTTGATCTTCACCCCTGAATTTGCGGAGTCTAATATCTTCTTTAAGAATTATCCTTTCCTAACTTCTAGCACTGGAAGCGAAACCAAACTTTGATAGATTAGGTTCGACATTGATTTTGGAAGGATATCTTTGTGCTAAATTGGGATGTATGCTCTTTGGATTTTCTGCACAACACTAAATGACTTGACACGTGGCACAAATCTATGCTTCATGATTTGACACACAACAAGTTTCAATATCTTTATTTCATAATATTACTTAAATGATTTTTAGAGATAAAATATCAAGTCGAAGGGGCATAAATGAAGAGTTCATAAGAACATTTAAAGGTATGTTTGATTCAGGGAATATTAGATTATTGAAAAATTAGATTATTTTGAAGATTATTAAGAATCTTTAGGAAAATGTGTTTGGTTAGTTGGAATAAATTACCTTGAAAATTGCTAGGAATCTTTAGGAAAATGTGTTTGGTTAGTTAGAATAAATTGGTAGGTATGTTATATTAATATGTTTGGTTGAGAGGAATAAATTTGTGAGTATGTTATTTAAATTACTAAATTGCCATCTTTTTTAAATATTAATATAATATTATTTTTATTATTAATTTTTAAATAATTTTTTTAACCCCCAACATTTCAGATTTAGTTAAGACACCCCCGTTTATATAAAACTTTTATTTATAACAAAATCACCCCTATCACCCCAAGCCACTACTCGCCACCACCATCCATAGCCGGAAGTCACCTGGAGTCGTCCTAAGTAGCCGAGAGACATCGGGAGGCTCCGATATTGTTGTTTTTGGCCATATTGATGGCCGAAAATGTCATATTGGAGTAGATTTGGTTGGAAATGGCTAGATCCATTCTAGCCATTTTCGACCAGATCCATGGCCTTTAACGGCCAGATCTATTCTAGCCAAAATAGATTTGGCTGTGAACGGCCATATCTCATTCAGATATGGCAGATAAAGGTCATAGATCTGGCTGAAAATGGCTAGAATGGCCATTTCTGGCCAAATCTACTCTGACATGGCCGTTTTCATCCATCAATATGACAGAAACAACCATATCGGAGCCTCCCGATGATGGTGAGCTACTCACGATTATTTCCAACTTCTTTCAGCGACTTCTAGTAGCGGTCGGCAGTGGTTTGGCTGGCGGTAGGTAGGTGAGGGTGGTGGCTTGGTGGGCTACTATTTGTTTTGAATTTAAGGGTAATTTTGTCCAAAGAGTTAATTAATTGGGTTTGAAATAGTAAAAGCCAAATTCATGTAAATTAATTTAAAAATAAGAGTATTATTGTCCTAAAATTTTATTAATACAAGATAGAATTGTAACAAAAATAAGATTACCTTAGTAATCTTACAATATTTAAGAAAATAGAGATTATCTCCAATATTGCCAATAGTAACTACTTTTAGTATTGGAAGATTACCGGAATTTTATATTACTTAACAACCAAACGTGGTAATCAAGTAATATAAGATGACATAACCTCATTAATCTCATATAACCCCCAACCAAACGCCCCCTATGAATAATGCTCAGTTGTGTGATTTATATGACTTAGGTGTAAGCAAAACATTATTGTAACTTTAAATATTGGATAAAGATGATTATTATCTTAAGTTATAGGGCGTTTGGATTATATAATGTTTTATTATAGGGGTATATAATATTAACGGAAAGAAATATCACCTTAAAGATTACTGGGAATATTTAGAAAATGTGTTAGGTTGGTTCGAATAAATTGGTGAATAATATGTTTGGTTAGGAGGATAAATAGGTGGGTATGTTATGTGAATTACTAAATTGCCCTCCTTTTTAGATATTAATATAATAGTATTTTTTATTATTATTTTTTGAATAATTTTTTTACCCCCCCACATTTCAAAATTTTGCCAAAACACCCCAACCATATAAAACTTTAATTTGTAGCAAAATCACCCTCACCCACCCCAAGCCACTACCGGCAGCCAGCCACCACCACCGACCGCCGTCGGCAATCAACGGAATGGCACACGACTAGCCGTATATGGCCGACCGTGTACCGACAAAGCCAAAAATGGACATGTATCACAAATCCATGGTAGAAAAAGGGCCAGATTTATGGCCATTTGACAGCCAAAGATCTGGTTGTGAAACGACCATAGAAACGTCAGATCTGGCTGTAAAACAGCCATAGATTTGTGATCCATGGCTGGAAAAGGCCTTACCAGTGCACGACTGGCTAGATCCCATCGATTGTGCATCATTATGGTGATTAACGCCGGTGGCCGGCGGTGGAGAGTCACAGCCGACAGTGGTCTTGGATGGCTGGGGGTATTTTGTTAACTTTTAAGCTTTTTGTGGCTAGGGTGTTTTAGCTAATTTCTCAAGTGTAGGGAGGTTGGATAATTGTTATTTGGTAGACATTTGAGGGCAATTGTATCTGAAATGGTTTTTAATTAAGGGCAAAATGGGTAGAAAAATCATATTACTCCGCTAATGTTTTAATAACAGCCCCTAACAAGGTAATAAGATTACCCTCCACATTACCAACAGTAACCACTATTTGCAATAAAAGATTACCATAATATTTTATTACTTGCAAATCAAACACAGAAATCTTGCAAAATAAAAAAAAGATTACCCCCGTTATCTTTTATACTCCCGATCCAGCCAACCTTATAATTAGAATCATAATCCTAAATACTCTAAGAGGGTGTTTAGTTGGGGTTAATGTGAGATTACTAGAGTTATGTTAAGAATATTATTTGATTACCACGTTTAGTTTTCAAGTAATAGATATCTCACAATGACCTCTGCTGATGAAGCCAATGGTTGGTATGGTGGAACAGTGCTCGGTGATCAAGATGAAGGCAGTAAGATATATAAACATTATACTGAACTATGCCAGGTAATGTGCTAATCATTTTCATAATTGATGCATATGGGCATGTAATAACAATTAATTGGCACTGGAAACAAGCTCTTATAGTCAACTTTTGGAATTGCAGGGCCCAGCAATGGAACCCTTCCAAAATAATCATCAGAGGGAGATGCACTATTCTCATGTTCTAGAAATGAATAGACTTGATGTGGTAGACAAAGATGTTGTCGAAGCAGAGATGGAAGCAGTCCGCAGGATGTATGATCAAATTGGTGCTGATCTTCGGATCATCCCGACATCATGTAAATTGTTTGCTAAAGATCCGAGTAGGTTGTCGAGATGGATCATTGGGGAGGAGAAGTTGCAGCAAGCGTGAAACCAGTTTGCAGCTGTGTTTCCTGGCACTGTATATATGATGTCATTGTTATTTTTCTGTAATGTAAATTATTTTGGTTAGTGATTTCGAAGAGTTATGTAAAGTTTGCTGAATGGTACACTAATTTCTGGAAGTCAATCACCACAACATGAGTTTTAATATTTCAATGGTTTATTTTTCTGCTTGTCCATAGCCTCGCTTCAGAGAAACAGTAGCTGCTGTCTCTTTTCCTGTCCTGAGAATCCATTTGTCTTAAAATTAAGGCCAAAATACCTACAAGTTCAACAGGATTACTTCATTTTGGTTTAGTCAAGATAATCTACAGATATATAGTAAAAAATTGTCTTCAATTTATATTTTATAAAATATTTTATTAATTAAGTTTGGATGACCCCATATACCCAAATAGAGTGGGTTAAGATTGGTGCACCCTATTTCCAATTGGGTTGGGTTTTAAGCACTCCTAATAGATTGAAATTCATAAATAGGGTGTACCTTTTTTATCTCTTGTCAATCATTCCTTTCCTAATCTCTCCATACCCATTTCAATATTATAGCAAACTTTCATTTTCTTTGTTAGTACAATGCCCTGTCAGTGTCACAATAAATAAGCAAAAGTTCTAGAACAATTACAGGCAACCTTCAATCTAACATAATATTTTTAGAATTTCGGTGAAAAAACTTCACTCTTTGAGGAGGTTTACTATAATGGGTGATTGGGTGTAATGTGATTGTGTTGAGGTTTACAACTTCCTTTTCTTTATCATTTTACCCTTATATAGAGAATGGAGGTCATAAAGAGTAATACTTCCCATCTTAAAGTATATCCCAAAATTTACATTACAAATTATGTGTTATCTTATTTAGCATTGTCATGTTATTTCACTAAATCACCACATATGATACAACATCATTTGGAATGAGAATTTCGTGATAATTTTTGGAGTGTTTAGGATTATTAATTGATAAAAATGTCCATTGAAATAGCACTTTGCATAATTATAACTGAGAAATCCACTCACATGATATATAATTTGTAAAATTGAATAGAAATCTGTTATTCCTCTTACAGTAAGAGGAAACCCATTGGAAGGCACAAACATTTTACAAGGCCCAAAGTTTTTTCTTTGTAGGGATCAAAATAATTACTTCATGACTACGCTAGTGACAAGTGACTGAGCTAGCACAGCTCAAAAGATTTGTATGTAAAGGACGTGGGCATGAGTTTAGTTACGATAATTTTGGATATAAAGTTTAGAAGTAGAAGCGCGTGACAGTCAGTCTCTAAGCTTTCTTGAACACGATAACATCAATAAAACTTGAACTATAAGTCTATAACAATCCAATCTGTCCCTTTCAATGGGTCCACTCATAGCATCAATCAAACAGATATATAGTATATAGTATATACCACACGAGACGTTTTGTGGTTGGCCTCCTCAGATGTATTGTTAATAATACACTCATAGTGGCGTATTACCCACTATGTATTGTTCTTTTATTTAAACAACATCACAATGATTAAGACTTTTAGCGTAGTGTAGTTTTAGTTAAGTGTTTTAGGTGAAGGAAGGTGGTCTGCTTCTGAAAGGTATATCTGTTCTCTCTTGTTTAACATTCTTGAATGGTTTATTTTGAGATATTAATTGTTAGATAGTGATTGTTGTTACTGTCAGATTATGAGCAATTCTTGTGAAGCTAATTCAAAACTGCTTTCTTTTATTTGGGTATGAGTATTGAAGTGCACTTGTTGTGAATTTAGTTGCCTTACCTGCGTGAAATATAAAATTTTACTCAATTTCCCACAAGGGTTTTGCAAAGATAGAAAAGGGAAGTTACTTTCAAGTGTTCTGAATAGGTTTTGATTTGTTATTGATGAAGAATTTGTTTTCATCCATAGTTACTGTCTCCTGAAACCAAATTCGTCTTCAGGTGGATTGTCTAACTTGTGAAATTGAAATATATCATTTGCTTAAACATATCGAAATGGTTTGTATTTTAAAAAGTATTAATTCTAAAATTCAACATTAACTTCAAATATTCTCTGTCACTTAGATCATATATTAATTTTTGTTTCTAGAGGTATATGATTTTGTTTGAGGTAAGGGACACTCTCATCAAATTAAGTAGAAAAAATAGTTTCTCTGATAACATTTGTAAGAAATATAGCTCTGCCTGCGCATAAAGAGAGAAGTTTCTATTTTTAGAAAGTAAAGCATGGAAGAAGAATTGTTCATCAAAAGTACTTGAATTGATTCGCCATTTATGAAAGTGAAAATCATGTTTGAATTTTTTATGAACATTCTTCAATTCTAAGATAGAACATCTTATTTTGTTTCAATCTGGTTGACAAGATGGAAGATGGAAGGCCTGTGTACACGCTGGATGAGGCGCTTTCTGCTATGAGGTTTGGGAAGTTCCAAGGTCTTGTGCTAGCATATGCTGGACTAGGGTGGGTTTCAGAAGCAATGGAGATTATGATTCTCTCTTTTGTCGGACCAGCAGTCAAGTTGAAGTGGGGACTCTCTTCGAGCGAAGAGAGCTTGTTAACAACTGTTGTTTTTGCTGGTATGCTACTTGGAGCCTATTCTTGGGGCCTAATATCTGATAATTATGGAAGGAGGTAGGCTAGTTTACCCTTTTCTTTTTCCTTATACATAATTTCATTTGCTTCTTTTACATGTAAGTTAGGCATCCTATATATTTGCTTGGATGTGCTCATGTCCTTAATTATGTTCAATGATGTAATTGGAAGTTTAAATTCTCATACCTAGATTTTCATATTCTCTGATGGAGGTCAGTGTTGACATGATTTGATTCTACTTATCTACTTCTGAAAATTAATAAAACGTGCATAATTTCTTGGAAACTTCATCACTTTTTCACTCTAAAATTTGGATGTATGCTTCTGTGCATTTATATTGATCATTTGAACTTAGACATATGTTCTGTTCATATAGGTATCAAAGACTTTTTATCTTTGATTGTATTTTTAAAATGTAAGCTATCAGCATTAATATGTATCCACCCGAAGACAGTTGCACTAACAAAGTAATCTAATTTGCATATTAATAACACCAGGGCCTTAATGTTCCCTGAAAATGTCCATGAATACACAAGGCACGTATGTATGTTCGGTTTTCCAAAACATTTATATAGCCTTTATGTTCTGTCACAGTAAGTATGATTAGAATCTAGAAGGAATACTTTATCCATTGTGAATCTCTCCCTTCAACCGTTTTAATTTGGTTCCTGCCATCTAATGTAGTATTTATATTATATTGTTCTGGTTCTCCTCTGGTTTTATGCATCATGGATTATATTGGTGCTCAGTACAGCAGGATTACTCTGTATCACATAATAGAATAAACAGTTTCTCACACACACATATTAATTATATATATATATATATATGTTTCAATCAAGTTTACCTCTATTTTTTTTTTTCTTGATGTATTTTTAAGTGTATCTGGAAGTTGGTCTTATTATCAAGTCCCAGTGCTTCCTAATTGATGATGATTTTATTTCATATTATACTGTTTAATTGCTTGCTTTTGTCTTCTATTTTCAGGAAGTGTTTTCTCAGCATAGCATCTGTAACTAGTGGAGCTGGACTGTTAAGTGCTTTCTCTCCAAATTATTTGTTATTGGTGATATCTCGTTGCCTGGTTGGCTTTGGTTTGGGCGGGGGACCTGTTTTCTTAGCCTATTTTCTAGAGTTCATCCCAATTTCATATAGAGGCACATGGATGGTAGTCTTTTCTGCTTTTTGGACCGCTGGAACAATTTTTGAAGCTTCACTTGCCTGGGTATGTTTCATTTCCTAACTTCCAGGTATTATCCAAATCACTCTTAGTCCATAGTGTGACTTTTTGAAACTGGATGTTTCGATGATAGTTTCTGATCTAGCTCGTAGCGATAAGGTCATTAAAAGGTTATTTCTGCATATTGAGCTTTTCTCAAAGCTTGAATTTTTAAAGTCTTAATATAAGAAGCTTAGGAGTCTTTCATAAATAGAATAAAAAACTGATATGCTGGTGAATGAGAACTTGGGGATTGTATAATGTTTCAACATTTTTGTCAATGTGCAGATTGTCATGCCAAAATTGAATTGGAGGTGGCTATTAGCATTGTCTTCTATACCGTCCTTTGCTCTGCTTCTCTTTTATGGTCTTGTACCTGAGTCACCAAGATATTTATGTATGAGAGGTAGAACAACTGATGCACATCAAATTCTTGAGAAGATAGCTCGCTTCAACCGCGCAAAACTCCCTCCAGGCATGCTTATTTCTGATAAAAGTACCCGGCAGAATGAACAATCTGCTTCATCAGTAGATACCCCCCCGCTCTCAACAAGAAGAAAAATGACCAGGAAATTTAAGTCCGGCTTTTCATCATTTTTTATGCTTTTCTCATCAAATATAATTCGGACAACTCTTCTCCTATGGGTGCTATTCTTTTCAACTGCATTCTCATATTATGGTATGGTGTTGTTGACTTCAAAGCTAAGTAGTAGGCAAAGTAAATGTGGCGGCTCAACCATCCTGCATTCGGATAATAGCCTCTATTTGAACGTGTTTATCACTAGTTTGGCAGGTAAGCATGCCCTCCGTGGACTCGCTTGTACTCAAATTGAAAATATTGTTATGCTCTTTTGAATAGAAGCGAGGTTTAACATCTTTCTGGCATTTATCTTACAGAGCTTCCTGGGCTTATCTTGTCAGCAATACTAGTGGACAAAATTGGGCGCAAGTTCTCGATGGCTACTATGTTTCTCTTAGCTTGCATTTTTCTTCTGCCACTGGTCTCCAATCAGTCTGCTATTTTAACGACAGTATTATTATTTGGAGCACGCATGAGTGCCACTGGAACCATAACTGTTGCCAGCATTTATGCCCCTGAGGTAATCGTATACGACTTCATGATTCTAATTTCCAATTATCTTACGCTTTCAAGCCTCACCAAGATTAATGAATTGAAAAATGTTATTTTCCTCTCTCGGTGACTGCTTTCATAGATCGATTACCAATTTATCTGTCACAGCCTAACTTGATTCAATGCACAAAGGATGTCCAAAAAATACTGAAATGCTCTCCTGCATTCCCTCGTCAACCTTGGTAACATATTAGTTGCATATAATTTGATGGGGTTGTACTATATGTAAAATTTTATTCTCTGCAGATATATCCTACTGCGATGAGATCAACTAGCTATGGAGTTGCAAGCGCCGTGGGAAGAGTTGGTGGCATGGTATGCCCGCTTGTAGCGGTCGGACTTGTCACCGGGTGTCACCAAACGGTAGCCGTGATTCTGTTTGAGGTAGTAATAGTTGTTGCAATAGCCTCTGCTCTGCTTTTTCCATTTGAAACCAAGGGAAGGGAATTGAGAGACAGTGTAGATATATCGGATTCGTAACAGGAAATCGCAGGATAGTTTGTTTGTAGTGCTGCTACTCTTTGCCGTTGTAAAGAAGGCTTCACCATGAACGTAGATATTAGTTATGTATTGTACATGATCATGATGTATGTGCTACTGTAGATAATATCAAATTCGACTCTTGTTTTTAATAATATACTTATAAACTTTCTTACACTATTATGTTTTGGGTAACTGGATATATTTAATTTCATATTATTTATGTTTAAACTAAATTTTCAAAAAAAAAATATTGTGGACAATACTCTATTCCACGATTTTTAATTATTTTTACGTTCCGCAAATAAAGTTAAGAAATCGAGTTTTACATGATTTACACTCGTTTTATTTTATATTGTAATAAATGGTGAAGAAATTAAATGTCTTTTGTGTTTTCTTAAAAATAAGGTTAAAACGGTAACCTATTTTGGTCTTAAAAACCAGTAAAATTATTAATTAAATAATATATTTATAACATTAAAAATGTTTCATGTTCTGAAAATGGAGATTATTTTTATGACAAAAGATTTATTGTTAAATAATTTTTATTAAATGTCCTTTTATCCAAAATTTCTCAAACCTTTATTAGTTTTCAGTGTGAAAATGTTTTAGCTCAAGTATGTAGTTATAATAATGATTAATACGATATGTTTTGAATTGAATGACCGAATTACCCAGGTCAATTAAGGTAACATAATGACTAAAATAATGTACACACTGTGAAATGACCACCTTTCTTACCTAGGTTAAAGGCAACATAATGTGGTATTGTTTAATTTCAATTTAGTTTACAATTATAATGAAGAATTATATATTTTTTTATGATATTTAAATAAGATAAATGAATTTTACACCAATTTTTTAAAAATTAATTTTATTTATATCATTCTTTTAATATGATTAAAATTAATAAAAAGTGAGGAATTTTTGTTTTTCAATTTTCAAAATTTTTTATTTAAAGTTTATAGTATTTATTGATCTTTTAAAACTATTTCAATAATCTAATTTTTTTATATAATTATATTTTTATTTAAATTATTATTTATACGTTATAGTCTGTCGTCAAACCACACATCCAACAGTATATTTCCTATCCAAAGCACTTAAATTCACTCCAACACAGTATGAAATAATCAGTTCAGTCTATTACGGTGTGCTAAACACGATGTTTTATAGCCTTCAAAGAAACAATTGTTTTCTGTACTCCATTTGGGCATGAATTTTGTTTGTAATTGTTATAACTACTCACAGAAAGAATAAACCAAAAATAGCAACAGATCAAGAACAAGAATCACACCAATCACACACAAGAACAACAGATTTACCGTGGTTCACTTGCTCTATGGTTGAGCAAGCTACGTCCACGTTGAACTCGAGAATCACACAAGCTCGCTACACTAATACTGTCAAGATTACAGATTACAAACACAGCAACACAAATCCCTCAAAACCCCTTCTTCAACCCGTAACTAACCCTAGAGATTACACCCTTCGAATCCCTAAATACAGCGTATACAATACACCCAGAATGACTTGACCAGTCACTCAATAACCAAGTTACAGGAAACACTCAACCCAAACTGAAAAACCCTAAAGGCTCAACAATGGTGTTTTAACGAAGAACAGAGAGACTTGTAAAACGAAAAATGAATCGAATGCATAAACTGCCAAAATAATTCTGCTTTTATATGGTTGAAATTAGGGTTGAATTTCAGCCGTTGGATCTTCTTCTCATCAACGCTCAGGATTGTTTCTGTCATTTAGATCAAAGCGACGTCGTTCCACTTAAGTGCAAATACGACAGTGTTTCAAGCCATCATCCAACAATCTCCACCTTGATGGGTTGAAAAACAGCCCCTGTGCTAGTGCAGCTTGCCTTTAGTGAGTCCTTCATTGTTCTCTTGTTACTGTTGCTTACTGAATGGACAGTAGGTTCAAGCAATGCTTGAACTTCGCAATTGTAACAATCTTCGTACCCATGTATGCTGGATTATTCTCAGTAGGAACCTTATTAAGTATTATCTCCCCCCTAGTGATCAGATCTCTCACAAAGTGATAGCGAACATCTATGTGTTTGGTTCGCTCATGGTACATTGGATTCTTACTCAAATATATTGCACTTTGACTGTCTGAAAAAATGGTTGGTCTCAGTTCAGTCAGTTTTGCTTCACTCAGGATCCCTTTGAGCCATATTGCCTCTTTAAATACATCAGCTACAACCACATATTCAACCTCGGTTGTTGATAGTGCAACTATAGGCTGTAATTGGGACTTCCAGCTGATGCAGTTGCCCCCCAAGGTAAAGTAATATGCAGTGGTTGACTTTCTAGTGTCCCTGTCACCTGCAAAATTAGAGTCTACAAAACCATCCAGCTCAAGTGAGTCAGATCTTTTATAATATTCCAGTCCCACATTCAAAGACCCACTAATATATTTGAGTACCCACTTCAAGGCTGTCCAATGTTCCATACCAGGATTGGACATGAATCTACTCAGCAAAGATATCACAAATGATAGGTCAAACCTAGTGCTAATCATAGCATACATCAAGGATCCAATCACATTAGCATAGGGAATGGTCTCCATTCTAATTGACTCAGCATTTGTATTAGGGCATTGGGACTTGCTTAAGGTGAAGTGGTTTGCTAAAGGCATTGAGACAGTTTTGGACCCTGACATTCCAAACTTTTCTACTAAATTATGCAGATATGAACACTGGTGAATTTTCAGTTTGCATTTACTCCTGTTTCTATCAATTTGCATTCCTAATATCTTTCTACCATCCTCTAGGTCTTTCATTTCAAATTCTGCATTCAGTTTCTTCTTTAACTCACAGATCAGAGGCTTTGATTTACTTATTAGTAACATGTCATCTACATACAACAGTAAGTAAATAGGTATTTCATCTAAAACAGCAAAGTAGAAACAATTGTCATATTTACTCCTAGTGAATCCTATACTTACTATAAAGGTGTCAAACCTCTTATACCATTGTCTAGGGGATTGCTTTAGACCATATAAGGATTTCAACAGTAGGCAGACATGATTAGGGGCCCTTTTATCTATGAAACCTAAGGGTTGACTCATGTAGATCTCTTCCTCAAGATCTCCATGAAGGAATGCAGTTGTGACATCTAATTGTTCAAGCTCTAGATCCTGGTGAGCTACTATGGACAGCATAAGCCTTATGGTTTTGTACTTAACTACTGGGGAAAAGACTTCATTGAAGTCAATTCCCTCTCTTTGGGTGAAACCCTTTGCTACAAGGCTAGCCTTATACCTGAGGGGATCCTTATCAGTGATACCTTCCTTTAGTTTGAACAACCACTTGCATTGTACAAGTTTTTGATCCTTAAGCTTTGGTACAAGCTTCCAGGTTCTGTTCACCTCCAAGGATTTCATTTCAGCTTCCATTGCAGCCTTCCATTGGTCACTTTCTTTTGTCTGCATGGCTTCCTCATAGGTTTCTGGTTCTCTTCTTTGTACTTCAGTACCTGCAAGGAGGGTAGTGTATATTAGGTCAGCATAGGAATATCTCATGGGTGCCCTTACCTGTCTTCTGGTTCTGTCTCTTGCAAGTGTTCAGGTTGGATCTCAGTATCATCTACTGTTTCTATCTCATCCTCTTGTTCTGGATCAGTTTGTCCAGTTTCTTCTCCATGTTCAGTAACAGCTCCAGTTTCTTGGCTGGTTTGAGTTTGGACAGGAAGCTCCACCTCAATTGGTGTAACTTCAGGTTGGGTGAAGGGATCATCTGTTCTTGACATGGGGTCAGTTTCTGTTCTAGATTCCTTACAAGGAAAAACTCCCTCATTGAATATGACATCTCTGCTCATAATGATTTTAACCCCTGAAGTATCTCTTTCCCAGAGTCTATAGCCTTTGGTCCCTTCTTGATACCCCAGGAATATGCACTTGGTTGACCCAGGTTCCAATTTGCCTCCTGTGGTGTGTGCATAAGCTGCACACCCAAAAACTCTTAAGTGGCTTAAGGCTGGGACTCTACCTATCCACATTTCCTCAGGGCTCTTTAAGTTTATAGCAATAGATGGGTTTCTATTTACAAAGTAAACAGCTGTTGTAAGAGCTTCTCCCCAAAATGAGGTGGGGAGTTTGGAGGTTATTAACAGGCACCTAACCTTATCAAGGAGGGTTCTATTCATTCGTTATGCCACTCCATTCTGTTGTGGGGTATATGTCACTGTCCTATGTCTTAAAACCCCTTGGTCACTACAGAACTTATCTAATTCTTGATTACAGAATTCTAGCCCATTGTCTGTTCTGAGAACCTTCACCTTTTTTCCCATTTGATTTTCTACTAAGGTTTTCCAATCCTTAAACCTAGCTAGGGCCTGATCTTTGGTTTTCAACAAGTATACCCACACCTTGCAGCTATAGTCATCCACCAGAGACATGAAGTAATTATTCCCTCCATAAGACTTCACTTTTCCAGGTCCCCAAAGGTCAGAGTGAATGTATTCTAGTGGACTAGTGGCTAGGTGTATCCCTTTGGTGAAACTATTTCTGTGCTGTTTCCCTAGAACACAATTCTCACAGAATTCGAGGGAAGTGGTCTTGTCCTTTCCAAACTGCCCTTTATTCTTAAGAATGTCCATGCCCCTTTGACTCATGTGGCCTAATCTAAGGTGCCACTTTTCTGTATTGGACAAGTTAGTAGAAGTAATCACAGAGTTAAAACAGTTTTGGGAATAATTTCCACAAAGAATATAAAGGCCATTTCTCTTCTCTCCTGTCAGTATCAAGTTGTTATCCCTATATATGTTCACGCATCCATGTTCTGCTTTGTAACAACATCCTGATTCATCTAAGGTGCCAAGGGATATCAAGTTTCTTTTANCCACTCCATTCTGTTGTGGGGTATAGGTTATTGTCCTATGTCTTAAAACCCCTTGGTCACAACAAAACTTGTCAAATTCTTGATTACAGAATTCCAGCCCATTGTCTGTTCTAAGAACCTTCACCCTTTTTCCCATTTGGTTCTCTACTAAGGTTTTCTAGTACTTAAACCTAGCTAGAGCCTGATCTTTGGATTTCAATAAGTACACCCACACCTTGCGGTTGTAATCATCCACCAGAGACAGAAAGTAGCTATTCCCTCCATAAGATTTCACTTTTCCAGGTCCCCAAAGGTCAGAGTGTATGTATTATAGTGGTCTAGTGGCTAGGTGTGTCCTCTTGGTGAAACTATTTCTATGCTATTTCCCTAAAACACAATTCTCACAGAATTCAAGGGATGTGGTCTTGTCCTTACCAAACTGCCCTTTATTCTTCGGAATGTCCATACCTCTTTGACTCATGTGGCCTAATCTAAGGTGCCACTTTTCTGTATTGGGCAAGTTAGTAGAAGTAATCACAGAATTAAAATAGTTTTGGGAATGGTTCCCACAAAGAATATAAAGGCCATTTCTTTTCTCTCCTTTCAGTATCAGGTTGTTATCTCTATATATGTTCAAGCATCCATGTTCTGCTTTGTAACAACATCCTGATTCATCTAAGGTGCCAAGGGATATCAAATTTTTTTAAGTTTTGGTATGTATCTAACCCTAGTTAGTTTTACCACTTTTCCAGTGTTAGCCCTTAGAGTCACTGTGCCTATCCCTCTTACTCTACATGTATTATTGTTTCCCATGTAAACAGTTTCATTTTCAACATTTTCAAATTCCTGGAACCAGTCTCTCCTAGGACTCATGTGAAAAGAACAGCCTGAGTCCAACACCCACTCTTCACCAGTGTCATTCATTGACACAGTAAGTACTTCAGGTTCCTCTACCAGGTTTCTAGTAGTGGCTAGGTTATTCTCAGTATTCCCTTGTTTTTGTTTTTTAATCCACTCAAAACAATTCTTTTTAATATGCCCAATTTTATTACAAAAGAAGCATTTTCTAGAATCTCCTCTATGCTTGTTATTGCCCTTCCATTTTTTCTTATTTCTAGCCCCCTGATTATTCTTATTTCCTTTGCCAGTTTGACTAGGTTCTGGTCTACTCTTAACAAATAGATTTGTGCCATTCCGTTTCTGGGTTTTCAATTCTAATTCTCTAGCCCTAAGTCATGTTGTTATTAGGTCAAGATTTGGTACAGTACCCGAATACTGTAGGGCATTCTTGACTACCTGGTAGTCATCAGTCAAAGAATTCAATAGAATCATGGCTGGGCTGGTTTCTCCTAAAGCTTGATCTGTCCCTTTTAGGACCAAGGTCATTTTTAAAAACTCGTCTAGGTTTTCATCTATACTCTTAACACTATACATTTTATAAGAGAATAAAGCCCCCTTTAAAAAAGCTAGGTTGGGGGCAGATTGCAAAGCATACAAGGTAGTGAGTTTACCCTAGAGTTCAATCGGTGATTCAATTCCATCTACCTTCCGGAGGACGCTGTCGGACAGATTCATTATTATCAGATTGTACGCCTTTTCATTGATCTCCTCTAGCCATTTTTCGGAGTCCTCTTCCAGTGCGATGGCAACCTTGTTGTGAGAAAGCAATGCTTTCATCTTTTTCTTCCAACTCCCAAAATCGATCTTCCCATCATATTGGGAGATCTCTATACGAGCGGTACTCATTACAATATAATGATAATAAAGAAAACAATAAAGAACCTAAAAAGGTACGTGGCATTGTTACACCAAAATTTGCCAATTACTACTAAGCAGTTTTTAAGGCAGTTATTGGTTTCCAGTCTATATACCTTTAGAATTTACCAAGATTTGACTCCCTAGATCCTATTGGAGACTAGAAGGAATCACAGTTTCGAAAAGCCCCAATTTCCAAAAACCCCAATTTCACGAAACCCTAATTTCGTAACAAAAGAACCCTAATCTCCAAGAAATGGCTTTGATACCACTGTTATAACCACTCACAAAAAGAATCAACCAAGTAACAAAAGATCAAAAACAAGAAACACAAAACACACACAAGAACAATAAGATTTACCGTGGTTCACTTGCTCTATATTTGAGCAAGCTACGTCCACGTTGAACTCGGGAATTACACGAGCTCGCTGCACTAAATCACTATCAAGATTATAGATTACACACAGCAACACAAATTCCTCAAAAACCCTTTTTTCAACCCGTAACTCACCCTAGAGATTACACCCTTCGACTCCCTATAAACAGCGTATACAATACACCCATAATGACCTAACCCAGTTACTCAATCAACAAGTTACAAGATTCACTCAACCCAGATTGAAACCCTAAAAGACTCAAAATGGTGTTTAACGAAGAAGAGAGAGATTTGCACAAAAACATAATGCGTAAAATGCCAAAATAACTCTACATTTATATGGTTGACATTAGGGTTAAATTCCAGCCGTTAGATCTTCTTTTCATCAACGCTCAGGATTGTTTCTTAGGTTTGAATCAAAACGACGTCGTTCCATTTAAGTTCTAATACGACAGCGTTTCAAGCCATCATCCAACAGTTTCTCAGGATATTTTTAGTGCTGGAAGTGAGACATCATCAACGGCTTTACAGTGAGCAATGCTAGAATTGTTAAGAAACCCAAGGGTAATGAAAGAGGCACAAGCTGAAGTAAGACGAGTCTTTGATGGAAAAGGATATGTTGATGAAAATGGCATTCAGGAATTGAAGTACTTGAAATCAGTGATCAAAGAAACCATGAGGCTGCATGCTCCAGTACCTCTTTTACTTCCAAGGGAATGCAGAGAGAGTTGTGAAATCAACGGGTACAAGATTCCTGAAAAGACTAGAGTGGTTGTTAACGGATGGGCAATTGGAAGAGATCCTGGATACTGGAATGACGCTGAGACATTTTATCCTGAGAGATTTCTTGGCAGTGCAATTGATTTCAGGGGGGCAGATTTTGAATACATTCCATTTGGAGTTGGAAGGAGAATCTGTCCAGGCTTAATGTTTGCACTGCCAAATATTGAGCTGCCACTCGCACAACTTCTATACCATTTTGATTGGAAGCTCCCAAATGGGATGAATCCTGAAGATCTAGACATGACTGAGGTCTTTGGTGTAACTTTAGGCAGGAAAACAGACTTGATGCTGATTCCTATTCCTTATCGTTCTTAATCTTAATCTCCCAACAACATATAGATCTTGTGAGATTATGATCGATGTACGTGTAGATGTGCAGTGTGTAAAATGGTTAAGCTTGTTAAACTTGTTTGCTTCAAATAAGTAATGTCAAGGGTCAAGGGAAATAAATTAAAATGCTTTAGAGTACAGTTTTCGGGGCTATTTGTTGTTTAATATTGTTAAATAATTTGTTCAGATGGACAGAAATTGATAGGTTAAATACAATACTATAGTGCTTTCACTTCAAAAATAGAATTGCTTTACTAATTAAAGCATTTGATTCCAAAGCAGATTACAGTAACAAAAGAAACTGGAATTTGCCCTGAGATTGTATTCTGCAACAAGTTGTGCAAAAGACGATGACTTGTTCTCGAGCAACTTTGTCTGGAGAATCATATTCCTCAACAAGTCCTACGCCAAGATATTGAAAAATAATTATTGTTACCGTGACAATAACACAACCAATAAAAGAATATCCAGATTCTGGACTATAGAAACCGCAATTAAGAAGAAGAACCATATCACTATCAAGAACATAAGTTATCCTATGTGCAATGGTTATGACTGTGCAGTCAGTGAAGTGTTGTCGAAAAGTTAGCTGAATCAAATTATCAGTAGCAGTATCGACGGATGCAGTAGCTTCATCAAGCACGACGACTTTACTTTTCTTAAGTGGCACATGCCCGGGGCACACCAACTACCTCTGTCCCATACTTTAATTCTCTCCATTCTCAGTAACTACAAAAACCATATGAACTTATGCAATTAAATTCTGCGCCATTATCAAGTTCGAACAATTTTACAACTTGTATGATAGAATAAAAGAAAAGACAACTCTGAAATCTAGCTTCCCTTCCTTCTTTCTAACTTCATTTCCAAGCTGGCACTTATGCAAAGCCTAAAACAAATTTAGATAGATATTAGCAAAGTCACAACATTGAATGTTGGATTTAGGAAGAAGCTTATCAAAAAACTGATATCTACAAACAAATTTAAATAGACTCACCTCCCAAATTGTCATCTGTGTATTCTTCAAGAGGTTACAGGTTGCTTAGTACAGTCCCAAATGTCAAAATATATTGACTAGAGAATTATTATATATATTAGTTTGGTGTGATGTTACAATAGCCATAATTCACATGATAATTAAATTCCTTGGTTTACTAACACCAACTTTACCATAGAGAAAGATGCATCAGCATGCGTAGGCCTAGGGATGTATACGAGCCGAGTCGAGTGTCTCGCTACTTGAGCTCAGTTCGTAATGAACAGTACCGAGCTCGAGCTCGACCTTAATCGAGCTTCAGTACTCAAGCTTGAACTCGAGCTTGCGAGTGTGAAGGAGTACTCGAGCTCGAACGAGCTCGAGACAGACTGCAATTGTAATTTTAAATCTTCCTGCAGTTCCAGCTTCGACTTCCACCTATCTACATACAATTCTACATACAATACAATATCCCACTTATAAATCTGTCTAAGAAACCTAATTCAAGCAAATTTTGTCAACATTGTACTTAGATAAATGCAAATTTTGCCCATAATTCAACACAATCTTCAATTTCCAACACCAACAATCTTCCAAAACATAAAATGAAATGACAAGTTTAAAGTTGTTGGATGAAATACGCATTACAATTGTACAAACACATGAAGCTATATACAAACCAAAAGTACATTCCATGAAGCTATGTACAAACCAAAAGTACACTCCATGAAGCCATGTGCCTATGTCCAAAGTCCAAACACATGAAGCTATATACAAACACAAAAGTATACTCCATGAAGCTATATACAAAGACAAAAGAGCAGAAAACTAATTCAAGAAATATAGACTTTGTGATAGCAAAATCCGAGTAGACCAGGAGAGAAAAACCCAAAGCCACCCAAAGTAGAAGAAAGGCACAAAAGCCACCCAAAGCCAGGCCTCCCACGCTCCCACCTGCAAAGTGTAAATACAAAGGAAGCAAATAATTTGCGAGTCAAATGTTTGCAATTCATCATTCACCAAATCAAAATCAACACAGCAATCACCATTCCCCAAATCAAAATCAACACAGCAATACTAAATAATCTCAATATCTATATTGAATAACCAGGTTTTCTGCATAGAAATTAAAAAAACTACAAAAGGCCTATATATTTACAAACCTGTGAATATATGTTTGAGGGTCAAACAATCTACTCAATCCCTTCAACTGAAGAGATAGGAAGGGTAATCTCCAGTGGTTCCTCATCCGACTAAAACATATATAAGAAAAAATCAGAAAGTTTAACGTTAGAGTAAAAGAAAATAATATTCAAAATAAACAAGACATAAAAACAGTAATAATTTATTTGTTAATTGAACTTACTTGATCCATCTTCATTAGTCCTAGCTGACTGCGACACCAATCACCTCCACATAGTAGTGCTTGCACTGTGTCTAGAGATAGTCGAGATCGATAATTGTCAATAACTCTACTTCCCTCACTAAAGGTAGCCTCTGAAGCCACCGTGCTAATAGGAATGGCAAGTATATCACGAGCCACCTTGCATAACACTGGATATTTCAAACTATTTGCTTGCCACCACTTTAAGGCATCAAACGCCTCATAATCCACTTGACACTTATAACATGGCTCTTCAAAATAGGAATCTAACTCCGATTTTTCCGGGGCAACAGTTTCAATCACGTCCACATAGTTCATTAAATCCAACCAACTAGAAGAGTCATCATCTACATTCGTCCCACTACTACTCCCACTCCCACTCCCACTCCCACTTCCACTCCCCTTCCCCCTACCCTGTTTAGTTGCAGACATATGTTGATCAGTAGATGATTGACTAGCGGCCACATATTCCCTGTACAACTCGTACAAGGCATCCCAAACTGTTGTAGAATGAACCCGTGCGTCAAGATCACCATAAATCTTAGGGAAAGCATAGTCCAACACTCTCATTTTGCACCTAGGGTCCAAAACAACAGCTATAGCTATCAACAAATTGCACTCCCCCTAATATTTATCAAATTTCCCTTTCATCTTCGTCACCATGGTCCTCAAAAATTCATTTTCATCCTCAGCATGTTTATCCAACAAAACCTTCACCTTACAAAGCTCGACAAGAAATTTATTTGATGTTGGATATTCAAACCCTAAAATGATGCTAGTGGTAACATTGAAAACCTTCAAAATTTCACAAACTTTATGTATCTTATCCCAATCTTCCTCNATAATTTATTGTCTTTCATAAATAATGTAAATTTAATGCAGTTTCTTTACTTTGCACAATCGCTTTAAAATAAAAAAAAAATATATATATATATTATAACCACATTAGCTAGGTTAGATAATGGTATATTATATTATTCTCTAATCAGAACGTTATAATGTAAACTTTATCAGAATCATAATTATGCATTATTGGATTTATCTCATTGAATGATATTTTAATTTAAATCTAATAGTATATATGCATAGTCCTGACAAAATTAGATGGGTCGTCCTGAATAAAAAATTACTGATAATTACTATTTTGATAAAGATTACAAGACTAAAAAGATAAAATTTATTTTATACCCTTAACCTGTGGTAACAGCTCTTATCAATTTCTTTTATATATGAAGCTTTGGGATGGTGTAACTAAATTCCTTGTAGTCATGGAGCTTCAATTTCAATCCTTCACCCTTATCTTAACCTTCCTCCTTTTTCTTTTTACTTCATTCAAAATTCTGAAACGACCAGAAGCGCAAACGCCAAACTCGAAGAAGCCTCCAGGGCCATTGAAATTACCTCTCATCGGAAACTTGCACCAGCTGGGAGGCTCTCTACCACATCACAGATTAAGAGACTTGGCCAGGAAATATGGACCATTTATGCACCTACAGCTCGGGGAAGTTTCCATGGTGGTTGTTTCATCGCCGGAGTATGCTAGAGAAGTTATGAAAACCCATGATATAAACTTTGCGTCAAGGCCTCAAACGGTGGCAACAAATATCATGTCTTATGACTCTACTGATATAATCTGTTCACCATATGGTGATTATTGGAGACAGTTACGAAAAATTTGCACGTTGGAACTTTTTAGCGCGAGAAGAGTCCAGTCTTTCCGATCAATTAGAGAGGAAGAGGTGGCTACTCTCATTGATTGGGTTGGTTCAAATGCAGGATCACCAATTAACCTTACAGAGAAAATTGCCTCACTAATATATGGTATCACTTCCAGGGCAGCTTTTGGTGGCAAATCCAAAGATCAAGAATTATTCATTTCATTGATGGAAGAAACTTTAAAAGTGACGGCAGGTTTTAGTATTTCAGAACTATTTCCTTCCATTAATTTTCTCCAATGGATCACTGGGGTCAAGTCTCAGTTAGAGAAGCTGCATCAAGAAGCTGACAGAATANTGATTCAGCACCTCCCAGACAAGGCGAGGCACAGGCAACCTCAACCCATCGTGAAACCATTTCTCATACATACAGACCCAACCTTCAGCTTCCCAATCAACCCGCTCGTACGATCGCGGGGTCCGGACTTTGACAGAACCAAGGATATGATACAGCGTACGGATACGCCACACGTCACTGTCCTTCAGCATGGACGGATAATCCCTGGTCAGAATCCCACTGCCCTGCTGGCTCAGCTCTTCCTCAAAGCTACTACTGGATGAAGAGGGACTGCCAGCCCCTCCGGAGTCTTCCCCACTCCTACCATACCTACCCGAGCCACTTGGCCCAACTCCACTCGACCCTGGAGCAGTAACACTAACTGCGGTCGGCACGTCGACCGAAATGTTCCCCTCAGGCATCATCACCATAGTCGGGGCACGCTCATACTCGTCCCTAACATCAACCCCATCTCGACTCGACTCCGATGACATATCGTCAAACATAGCGGATGACTCGCCCGTCCGAACCGACCGACCCGTTCTTTGGAGAACTAAACAGCCAAAATGTCAACCCAGCTACCAGTCGCCCTTCAACACCGATCGACACCCACGAAAGTCAATCTTCAATCTTAGTCGCCCCGCCTAATTGACCGAATGAAGAGACGCTACTACCCGACCTGTCTGATAAATAGGTCAACCTACCCTTGGTCGACCCCTCCGATCGACCGACCCTAAAACCAGATTCAGTACAGTAGTTCGCTCGCCCCTGGCGACTGACCCACCTCCAAGTCCACCCGAGTCACCTGCTAACCTCGCTCACTCCCACGAACCTGAAAACCCCCGCTCACCCTGGATGACCGATCGCCTAGTCCACACCACACGACCCCTCACCACTCGGTCAGACGTATCGACCGACCCAAACAACACCTAAGTCGACTTCGTCTTCCAGGCCCAATCCAAAAAACCCAAAAAATATTCGAAACTACCGGATTCTTCCCCAATACCCACCGGAAAATTCAAACCTACACCTATTCTCCAAAATCCTAACACCAAAACACTCGAAAATCCAGTTTAAACCCGCTCAAAAGCTCAAAACACCTTTATCCTACCTCCCAAAAATTTCAACAAAAGAGAAATCTACATACAGAACAGCAAAACGACCTAAAAAGAAGAAATTACCTTGGATGATTGTAGAAAAAACCACCTTCGCTCAAGAACCTGGGACATAAACGCAAAAAAAAAGGGGAGAGATTTTTCGGATGAAAACACAAAACCAACGTGAATGGAAGATGAACAGTCTGCTCCCCAATTTTGTAAAGAAAAATGCAGACACGTGGCAGGCTATGATTGGTCAGTTGTCAGGAGTCTCTTCGTTTTCCCGCTCTCGAAACGACAAATCGATCGCCACCATACATGTGGCAGCGATCCTGACCACCTGGGAAACCGTGGACCTGTATGGATTCTGCATCTCGGTCGCCCGACCCTCCCGGCCGACTCAGCTTGTACATCTAGAAGTATGTTCGACACGCGTCCAACTTTCGTCCCAACAGCCCGACTGAATGAAGCTCCTCAGTGAACTTCCTGAACTTCGCCCGTTCCGGCAGGACGAATGATTGCCCCTTGCGCGGTTTCCTTGCTAACTTCAGAACGCCATCAAGCCTCGTCCATTCGTCCGTCCGAGGCGAACGAGTGGTCAACATGTTCGGTCACCTCACCTACCTAGTCGTCTCAACACCCCGATCGAATGAAGCTCCTCGGTGAACTTCCTAAACTTCGCCCATTCCGACAGGACAAATGATTGCCCCTTGCGCGGTTTCCTCGATAATCGCACTGACGTACCGAGCGACCTTACCTAGTTCTCTGCTTTTTGGCTCGTCGAACCGATCAGGCACACCGCGATGGTGGCGTGCTCTTGTTCAGGAATGGATACCGACCAAGGTCTAATCAAATCACTTGCGACGGTCAGATCTCTCCAATGATCGCTCGTCCATGAGGAAAGAACGAGCTCGCCTTGAGCGCAACTTATTCTCTGACTTGAGATACTCTCAACTCAGAGAGTGGGGGACAAACTGTTAGGGCCAAAAATCGTCCTTGGCCTAAATAGGGAAATAGGACCATTAGCGAAGACGGACCAGGCCCAGTCCTACAAAGGCCCAAGCCAGGTTAGTTCTACTTTGACATGAGATANCCAACCACGACAAGAAATAAATATTTTGTTTTAATCAAAGTTGTCATTATCTTCATGGTTGGGGGATTTAATAATAATCCTATTTTATGGCATGTGATTGTAGCAGTGGGGCTTTTGGCATTTTGCTTCTTTTGTTTAATTTGGATTTTCTTATTCATCAAGGATAAGCAACTCTACGGGGCTTCACAGTTATTAGTGTTGGTGTTTTTGTAATCTTCAAGTAATTTAGGCTAACCATTTCTGGGTGACCTGATAGTAAAAGAGAAAAAAGATTTAATATGAGTTTTTAAGTTAGAGGTGGCCATCTTGATGGTAAAAGAGCAAAAAGGTTCAACATGGGTTTTTGAGTTTTAGTCCCTTCAGGCACTAATAAGGGTGACTACTAAGGAGATTCATCCGGTTGTTTACTTTAGGGCCTCGGGTGATTAATTGAAAAAGTCTAGATATTTATTGTGTCAAGACCATACTTAAATACCATCGGATCTATTCATCAGTGTAATGAAATAATATTTTACGGATAAGAATCTAACGATAATTAAATATAGTCTTAACAAAATTAATAGTAAGACATCTTGACTAAAGAATTACTTTATATGGTGGTCATGGCCATCTCGACCCTACAATTTTTATTTTTTTTAATTTTATATAGAAATTATTTAGTCCTTATAAATCAAATTCTCAATCTCGAACTTAACACTTTAGACTTGACAAATGTAACTCTATAAATGTAACTCTATAATTATGAGGCCCCTATTCATTGAAGATTATATTTTGACTATCCATCTACAAACTCTTTGATGAAATATGGAATGCTGAAGATATTCATGTTGGAATCAAGCAATTATTGATTTACAATTATTTGATTGATTTTGTAATTAAGACTTTATTACATTTCCTTTACTGTATTATATCATTGCCTTTATTGTATTCAAAGCCACTATATAAATTAGTTGATATACTCATTAAAATACACAAAAATATACGCAAAAATTACAATCTTTCATTATCTCTTTTCTTGACATTCTTCAGCATTGTGTCTGCTACTTTGTCAAGCTTCCATCCATTGGCATTCTTCGGTAGTGTTTTGCCTCTTTTGCCTTCCTTCAAGCTCAAACTTTGACATGGTATCAGAGCTAATCTTTGCTTCCGCTAGAATCCTCTCTAAGCCATTGTTTCTCTGAACATGCAAAACAAGGCAGTAGGATTTGAATTTTTTTTTTCCCCAAACATCACTAAAAGGACCCAACCTAAACACCCATAGAACCAGACTCACAGTCCACAGCCACAAATGAGTCCCCACACACAAACCCAACTCATCCAACAGGCCCACACAACTAAACTAACCCCACTCATCCAACAGGCCCAAACATCCAAAGTGGTCCAACCATCAAACAGAGCCCAGCCACCAACCTAGATTCAACTTTCAAACTAGCCCATTTCCATTTAGGTTTATGGGTCAAAACCCTAACCCGACAGGTCAAAACCCCTACCAGATCTTCCAATTTCTTCCAGCCTCCACCGGTCAACCAGAACCAGGGGATGCCCTTTTTTCACCGATTTTCGATGGCTTTGAGCTTGTACTGGTAAAACAACCCTTGGTCGGATCTCAAAATTACACCACTTGGGCTAGAGACTTCCGGCGAGCTTTGGTAGCAAAAAAATAAGGAAAGGTTCATCGATGGAACCCTTCCCCAACCCACTAAACCACACCTGTCCCAGCACTAGATTCGGTGCAATACCCTGGTTTGTGCCTAGATCAGTAACTCCCTGAACCAGGAGATAGCTGCCAGCTTGCCTTAAACTGAAAATGCCCAAGAGATGTGGACAAACATCCAAAAGATGTATGCCAACTAGATCTTTGCAAAGATCTTTACTTTATGTAAAAATCTTCTTGAAATCAAGGAACACAACCTGCCAGTCACCATTTATTTCCTTTGACAAAGACACAATAGCTTGATATGGATCTTCTATCTACCTTAGAACTTGCCGACTCTGCATCTGAAAAACATTCAATATGAGAGTGACTATGATTGGCATATAATATACCACATCCAGGGGTTCTTTTCAAATAACACAATATCTACTCCAAAGCTACCCAATGATGAACTGTTGGGGAGGCCATAAACTAACTGACAACACTTACTGAATATGCAATATTTGGACGAGTCACCATAAGATAGTTCAACTTCCCAACCACTCTTCTATATTTCTCAGGATCTCCAAATAGTTCACCATCTTTCGTAAGCTACACATTAGGAACCATCGGAGCACTGCATGGCTTTGCCCCCAATTTCCCTGTCTCAGTTAATAAGTCAAGCACATATTTCCTCTGAGAGAGGAATATACCCCGTTTGCTCCTTGTAACTTCAACCCCTAAGAAATACTTCAACATCCCTAAGTCTTTTGCGTGGAACTAGGTATGGAGAAAAGACTTAAGAGATGTGATGCCCACATCATCACTCCCAGTAATAACAATATCATCCACATACACAACTAGAAGAATGATGACAGTTTCAAACCGTTTGTAGAAAACTAAATGGTCAGTTTTACATTTCAGCATACCAAATCTCTCAACAGCCTGATTAAACTTTCAAAACCAAGCACGAAGACTCTGTTTTAAACCATATAGAGATTTGCGAAGATAACATACTTTCCCATACTCCCCTTGAGCAACAAACCAAGGAGGTTGCTCCATATATACCTCTTCTTGAAGATCTCCATGAAGAAAAGCATTCTTGATGTCTAGCAGATGCAAAGGCCAATCATAAGTAGCTGCCATAGAGATAAACAACCGAATAGAGGTTAACTTAGCAACAGGGGAAAAAGTATC